TGCCAGCATCACTCTCTGAGGACTTATTTTAAAAAAAAGAGGCGTAACGGAGTGAGCAGTAAGCCTCCTGCTCCTAAATCACCAGTTTCCAGGGAACCCAACGCAAGGCCCCAGCTAACCTGTCCCAAGCACCTGTTGTGTGGTATCCACTCATATGGACTTGATGGGAAAGAGGAGACCAGGCAAGAAGAAAACCATTCAGGACCACAACCGTGCAGACCAGGATTCTGTGCTGTCCGCTGGTGCTCAGTGTTAATGGTGGTAAGTCCCATTCTGTGATGTTGTCAGTGGATGACAGGAATGGAAACCACAGAGCATGGCCAGCCTGAATGGGTGGGCACAGATCAAGCCAAAGAAGACTTTTCCTGGGAAGTATCCCCCCCGCCCCACACACCGCCTTGGGGAAATGGACAGGCGTTGATGTTTGGGGTGGGGGGTCAGGGGTCCCCACAGGATGAATGCAGGAGCACAGCCCCCGGCAGCCCCTCGGGTGTGAAGTGATCGCATCAAAGGGGCCAGGAGCAGAGGAATGAGAGACCGATCCGTTGGAGGAATGAGGGACGCTCCCCTGGAGTCAGGAATATTGACCTGAAAAATGAGAACAGTGGGTATTCGGTGTGTGGAAGTGACTTTCCTTGCTTTCTGGTTGTGACTTTGTGACAATCAGTTTAGGACGCACCAGCTTCACAGCTGGGTTTTGCGAGGTCTCCCGCGGGGCCCAGGTGGGAGGACATCCACTGCTGGCAGCCAGCTTGGTGGTGGATGAAAATCCAGCGAACTCATCAGGGAAATGCCAGCCCAATGCAGGCCTGGAGCAGCAGAACGTTTAAAGAACAGGAATGTAGGCCGGCTGAGGTGAATGATGGTGGCTTGGGTTAGCAAATAAGATGCCAGCCAATCTTAGACCACAGAATAATGCTCACCCTGGAAAGCTACAAAATTAGAACTTCAAACAGGAGCTGGTTACAAATTAAGACTCCTTTATTTACCGTCCTCGTCGTGGGGGAGCCCCATCTTTCTGCCCAGATCCCTACCACAAGGAGAAGGAGTGGAATTATGTGTTTGGGGATGATGTGACATGTTTGGGTTGGGTCTATTAAGACTCACACCCACTGTCTTGAGTGAAAGAACAGAATGCTTTTCAAGAGTTTTGGGTTTTTCCACTTCTTCATGATCCAAGTGTTTAGACCCTGGGGACAGGTCAGGGAGAGAGCTGGGGACTTCGGCTCAGGACACCAATGATGGAGACTCTGAAACCTCCACCGAAGTGGGGGACCCACTCTGGTGAATCCCAAGAGCTGCCCCATGAGTTGAACCACAGTTTGTGGGAAGGACAGGAGAGCAGGTTCCATCAAGGCCACCTGACCAGCAACGGGCAGACCTGTCTACGGCCCTTCTTCTGCCTCCCCTGCTTCCCTCTGGCCACCCCCACCACCACCTGCAGCCCCTCTGCCTGTCCCTGAGACCATCCTCCCCGTCCTCCCTCTGCACACGCTCTCTCAGGTCTGGGCCCTGGGCACATGCTTCTCCTTCTCCACCCTCGCCATGTTCCTTCACTCTGGCGCTCTAGACTGATGTGCGAGACGGTCACCAGGACACACGGTTTTCCACACGGCAGAGGACAGAATCAGGCAGGTGAGCGGTAGATTCAAGAGTCAGAACTCTATAGGGACGCCTGGGTGGCTCCATCGGTTAAGCATCTGCCTTCATTTCAGGTCATGATCTCGGGGTCCTGGGGTCTCAGCTCTCGTGTTCTAGGTAAGGAAACTGACTCCCCCAGAGTGAAGTGGCCATTAAGCCAGCCTGCAAGTTCACGGCCTTGCTGCCGCTCTGCCTCTCAGGAAGTCAGTCCCAGGACCTCACCCTTTCGCTTACGTATTTCTCTTATGCCAGTCTTTTTTTTTAATTTAAAATCAATTAATTAACATAGAGTGTATTCTTAGTTTCAAAGGTAGAGTTTAGTGATTCATCGGTTGCGTACAACACCTAGTGCTCATATTCCAGTCTTTTAAAATAATGTAAGAATTCTAATTCGTTCATATTTTAAAGGACGAGAAGCAATATAGAGACTGATCGAAAAAGAGCAATAGATTCCAACTTCATTTTTTGTTGGATTTTCATTCTATAATTGCATGTTTAGCCCAGCTGGTTGCCATTCTGAGTTGGGTTTGTCTTGAACTAAGACATCTGCCTCCTCTGAGCACCCCATGCCAGATGGCAGGGACCAGGAAGTCTGGGAAAGAGTTCCTCCACTAGTGGAAAAGCCACACACAGACAACCAAGAATCCACTGTTTGGATTCACCAGGCTACACTTCTGGTGCCTACGAGTGGAGAAAGAAATAGAATCTACCTTTGCTCTCCTTGCCCAGGCAAAACAAAACTAGGCTATGTCAAGAGTTTCAAAGATTCAAATCTTCACTGCTGCCTCGCATGGTCTGTCTGCTTGATCGATTGTCTCTTATTTCCTCCCTCTATTGCCCAGGCTGATTTGGTCTTGCTGCTGGATGCAGGGTCAAGGCTGAACAGCATCATGGCCTTTCCCAGACTACAGCATGGCTGCCCCATGTCAGGCAGCTGGGAATTCAGCTCTTCAGATTCCCTAGAGAGTCATCTCAAGGTGATAGAAATAGTGGCCATGTGAGGAAAGAGCACCAGCCAGCCTAGGAAACAGGGTTGTAGTCCTAACTCAGCCTCTATCCCAACCCACCTTTCTGGGCCAACCATTTATCCTTCAAAATCCAGCTCAGGTATCACCTCCTTTGTATATCGGATTCTTCCCCAAGCAGAGCTGGTCCCTCCTTGGTCCCTCCTACGCTCCGCACATGACTGTCACACATCTTCTCACAATGTTTATAACTAACGTCTGACTTGTTTGTCTCCTAGTCCCGCTGTGGGCCTGAGTGAAGAGAACAGTCTTCAGCTGTAACACATGGCAGGTACCCCATATACAAATTAATAATTATGGAATCATTTCAAAATGAAAAGGGTCAGTGGGGGCGCCTGGGTGGCTCCGTCAGTTAAGCGTCTGCCTTCGGCTCAGGTCATGATCTCAGGGTTCTGGGATCGAGCCTCACATGGAGCTCCTGCTCAGTGCAGAGGAGTCTGCCTCTCCTTCTGCCTCTCCCCTGGCTTGTGCTCTCTCTCTCTCACTCATTCCCTCTCAAATAAATGAAATCTTATTTAAAAAAAAAGAAAGAAAGAAAGGACCAGGATGCATGATCTTGAAGGTGGCTTCCCTATTTAAAGGTCTGTGAGGACCTCAGTCTCAGTGACTGAGGTGAGAAGCACAGAAAGGTGAAAGACCCAGGATTCCTAAACCCTCAAGTGGCTCTCTGGGACACAGAATTCCATATATACATTATACACACCGGTATGACAAGGATTGGGGGGTCAGCTGTGCCTCTCTTCCTTCTGTGAGTGTAGATCAGTCACCCGAAAGTATTTTGAGGTCAGTCATCACGCTCGAGATGAGATGTTGTTTCTCTAACAGTTGAGAAGATGGAATGGTTCTCCAAGAGAGTGGGGATGGAGGCAAAGCCCTCCAGGGGTTGAATGATCTGCTCAACCACACACATGTTGAGGGTGATCTAGATTTTGAGCTGGGGTTCTCAGTTCCCCCTCTGGGTTACCCTGACCCAGAAAGTCTTGGCCAAGCTAAGTTTTGTAATCTACCACCATCCGGCAGCTGGCCATTGCCTCACTGAATTGTCAGGGGGCAGGGTGGGGATCTAGGAGGAGCTACTTTTGATGTGGGACTTTTAAGCAAAGGGTCATCCTTGGTGTGGTTTGAAACCCTGCCTTGGTGTGTTTGGACAATAGCTAAATTAGCCCTCCCTAAAGACCGGGAATGAAGGGATGTCTAAATATAATCATGGGACACAGTTTGAGATCTGCCCTGGGTAGAATGCAAGAACCCTAGCTAGAGGTAAAAGACAGTAGAAGAATCAAATCCGTCTCCTAGCCCCACTTTCCCAGCCCTGGCCACTTTCTAAAGGCAGAAAAAACAACACAGGCAGCAAGGGATCAAATCAGGTCGCTGGGCATTTGTGCCCCTTCCAGGTACCAGAGAAGAAAATGCCACTGTGTGTGGGGAGGGGGGTGGGGCAAGAAAGGAGGGGGGTGCCTGTTGCTGCCAGGCCGCTGTTGTCCAGCGAGGCTGTGCAGGTGATTTGTGGAGCCGGTGGGTAAGCGCCGAGAACACCCCGGAGGGTGGAGACAGCTTTTATTAGAAACCTTCCTTTTTTTTCCCCCCCCTGGCATTTCACTAATTTAGCCAAACCACTCTTGGCAAAAAGTCTGGCTGTCCTTAGCCCAAGGGTGGATTTGACTTAATTTGAAGTAGGGTACGGGGTGTCGGAGAAAGGGCTCTGGGCTGGGCGACAAAGACGCGGCCTAGGCGCTACCTTGCAGTGGGGACCGTGAGCAAGTCTGGGCCCTTCTCCGGGCCTGGGTTTCCTCATCCGTCAAACCACACGGTTGACCCGGAGGCTCTCTCCACCTTCCTCCGCCTAGGAGGTCGTCCTACAGTTCAAGGGCGAGTTCTGGCTCGTTCGCGGGCAGGGGCGGCGGTACCGAGCGGAGGAAACGCTCGCCAGCCGCCCCGGCAGCGGAGGAGGGGACCCCAGCTCCGGCCGTTGGCGCCCCTTCCTCCCGGTTGGCTTTGCTTCTGGCCCCCAAGTTGCCAGCTCTCAGCTGACCGAGGGTCGGGGCAGCGAAGGGGGCTCCGGGAAGCGCCACCTCTTGGGGACAGGGGCGTGCGGCGGGCGCGGGGCTCCCCCCACCCCGCCCCGGGGCCCCCGAGAGGGCGTCGCGCCCGGGGACCGCAGCCGCGCCGGGACGTGGCGCCCGCAGGGGCGTGCCCGGGGCTGGGCGGGGGCCGCTGCCCGCCGGGTCCCCTCCTTCCCGGACGTGACCGGCTCGGCGCCCCGGGCCACACGCCAGGCGGCGGGGGGCGGGCGGGGGGAACGCCCGGCGGGAGCCCGAGCCGAGCGGGGCCGGGACCGTGCGGGCCGCGCGCCGAGCCGAGCGCCGGGAGGAAGGGCGGCCGCGGCCACCGGCGGGGACGGGGCGGGGGGGGGGGGGGCTGCGTGCGACACGCGCCTTTCTCCGCCCTGCGCCGCCCGCCCGGCCCCCGGCCCCGCCGTCCGCGGAGCTGCTCTGATCCCCGCGTCGGGGCTGCTGATTGTTTGCCTCCCAGACGGGCTGGCTCGGTGCAATTTCCAGACGCCTCTCTGGGCCGGGCCCTGGGGGAGCGGGGAGGAACCTGTTGCCCCGCAGCCAGGCCCCGAACCCCTCCTCCTCGGCCCTCCTGGCCCGCGCGGTGGGGCAGGGGCGGTGACCCCATTTTGCAGGTGGCAAGACTGAGGGGCGAAGGCCCTTGGCCAGAAGCACATCAGGAGAACTTAACAGAACTAGCAGAAATGGGAGAACGCCTATCGGCCCCTGTCGTTCCTCAGGGTGAGGCTCTGGGCTCAGGAGTGGACAGACAATCTCCCTCTTTGGCCGCCTGCGTCCTCCGTCCTCCGGTGAGGAAATGGCAGTCTTCAAGGATCTGCAAGGGTGAGGGAGGACCGAGGTCCTGGATCCTGTTCTGGACTCCCCGCCCTCCTTTTGTAGGACGACACCACCCTCCCCCTCCTGTCTGTCCCCCAGGCTCCACCTGTCCCTGCTTCACTGCATTAGGACTGGGCTAAGAACCAACACTCCTATTTTCTCCTTAATAAATCCCATTAAAGATCGCCGGAGCCTTCCGACTGGTGGAACTTGGGCAAGCCCCTTCCAAATCCTGGCCTTAGTTTTCCCATCTCTGTGAGAGAAGCCTTCCTGCCTTCATATTCCTGGATACTTTCTCTGCAAGCAAGGGCCGGCCATAAGGAGTTAAATGTTCTTCCTTTTCTCTGTATTGTAATTATACTTGCCTGCCCAGCGCCTGTGGCCACAGGAATATGCAAAAAAAAAAAAGGTTATTAAATAAGCATAAAGGTATACCTTTGCCTGTCCCTCTCTCCTAACAAATTCCTAATAATAACCAAAGCGACAGGAGAAAATAATTGGGTTTATCAACCCTTTCCGAGTATCTTCGCATCAGTGATAAGGGGCAGCCGGCCACCTCCCCAGGCTGATGGGGCAGCAGAAATATTTCAGTTCAGAAGCTGGTCTGAACCGGGTCTCTACTCCTCCCTTACTGCCTATTTGAACCCCTGGATTCTTAGGTGTTCCCTGGCCTGTGGCTAAATCAGAAACCAGGGCTCCCCTTTGACAGATGACAAATCCAAAGAAGTGAAGTGGCTCAGCCAGGAGAACCACAAAATACAAGATGGTAGACGCAAGACCGTTCCCTCAAATTTGGATGAAGATGTTGGTAACGTCGGCCTGTCAGGGTGATCGGGGCCCAGCTGGGATGGAAAAGCTTCCGGTGACAAGGGACTGTGACCGCAGCAGCACCCCTCCGCCGGGCGGGGGGCACAGGGGGCCTCCTCAGGCCTGTGCATCTGGGCGCAGGACGAGCAAGACACGGGCTATGCCTTGGAGGGACTGACACTGGAGCGAGGGAAGAGCCCAGCGTGCAGCTTAGCACCACGCCTCGAGGCAGTTGTTCGGAGCCCAGGGGGGTTGCTGGCTTGCCTGGTCTGTCCCTTCAGCACGTCTGCTATCATTGGCAGCCCCCTCGGGGGAGACACGGACCACCCCTCTCGCCCACCTTCTGCTGCGCCCGAGGGAGAGGTTGGCTGGGTGACTCCCCCGCCCCTCCTCTCAAGATCCCCGGGTCACTCTGTCCTCCCAGAGTCCTCGGGAGCAGGTTTGCTGGCTTTCCCTGTGGTTCAGCTCCAATCTGCAGTGGGAACAAGGCGAGGGCTATATTCAGGGTGTTGGTTTTTTTACCTTGTACTTGAATGTTTTAATTTTATTTTTCAAAGAAACTTACATTTATTTATACATGTATGTGGTTCAACTACACATGCATGTGGTACAGAATTCGAGAATACCTGCCTCCCCCGCCTTCAAGCCTCCCAGCTCTCCTCCCCAGAGGTAACCGCCCTTACTTGTTCCTTACAGATCCTTCCAGAAATCATTCTCTTTTAGGAATTTTTTTAAAAAGCAATGTTTGTCTCCCATCCAAGTACTAACCAGGTCCGACCCTGCTTAGCTTCTGAGATCAGACGAGATCGGGCACGTTCAGGGTCAAGACGTGGTGTACAGGTTACCTGGATCAGAATCACCAGAGTGTCTGCTCCCCAGGTCGCGAACATTAAAGTCAGAAAATGCTGCTTTGAGGAACATGACAGCTACCATCCTAGGGTTGGAGAAATATTCCCATACGTTCCTCCTGTTTCTAGATGAGGAGGAGGCCAGCCCTGGTCAGATAACGCCAGCTCTTAGAGCAGGGTCTCTTCTTTTCTTTTCTTTCTTTCTCTTTCTTTCTTTCTTTTTCTTTCTTTCTTTCCTTTCTCCTTTCCTTCCTTTTTTTAAAGATTATATTTATTTATTTGGGAGAGAGGGAACACAAGCAGGGGGAGCGGCAGGCAGAGGGAGAAGCAGGCTTCTGGTCGAGCAGGGAGCCCGATGCGGGGCTTGATCCCAGGACCCTGGGATCATGTCTGGAGCCGAAGGCAGATGCTTAACCGACTGAGCCACCCAGGCACCCCTAGAGCCAGGGTTTCTATCACTTTCAGCTACATCGGTGTTTTGCTCTGTGTGTGTGTGTGTGTGTATGTGTGTCCTTGGAAGGAAATCCTCTTTTGAAATGAAACCATCCCTGGAAACACACATGTAAAGTAAATAAAAGCAGAGTTCCTCCCCCTGTCAGAGTGGGAGTGGGGCAGAGGGATCTCACTGAGCCTCCCCTGCCCTACAGCAGTCCCTGGGACATCTTGGAACCCAGGGGTTGAAAGACCACAGTCTCATGTTGTGGGACATCCTAGAGGAGACAGGAATTTAGTATGCAGACGGTCAAGTCCAAGGTGGGGGAAGGGAATCAGAAATTCCAGCTCAACTCTCCCAGTGTGAGCCCGGGATCCCGCCCCCACCATGCTTAGTAACCTCCAGCCCTCCTCACAGCCCTCAAGCCCATGGGGTGGGGGGCTGCTTGGAGCCCATGCGTCCCCAAGAAGAGAGCTGGCCCACGTTGAGCATCCACATCCGAATCAATTCAAGCGTATTTATGGCGACCTCTGTGGAGCCCAGTGCAATAAACTCCAAGCAGTTGAAAAAACTAGTCCCGCCCGCCAGGGCTCTCAGTCTAGCTGGAGAGAGAAGATGCAGAAGAAGTGATAAGGACATTAGGTGTGTGTGTGCTGGGAGGGGTTAAGGCAGGTGGGCAGGCAGGTGGGTCAACCTTGGATGCCGGGGGAGTGGGAAAGGGCAGGGTGGGGGGCGGTGTGGAGAGGCAGAAGGAAGGCCGGGCCTGGGCAGGAACTCCAGAAACACTGCCTTCCAGGGGAAACTCAGCCACTCTCCCCAGAGATGTGAGATGAGGTTAGAGTCAAAGAAAGAACAAATCAGCACCTGAACCCTTAACCCAGCTTAATTAAACTAACTGGCTTGAGGGACTTGAGTTAGACTTTAGGAAAATCTTCACAGCACTGAACTTCATCCTTCAAACCTGTTCCTCCCTGGATAATACCTCTATCCTTCCAGCCCTCCCCCCACCCCCAGCTCACTCAACTCCATGCACACGCTGGCCTCCTGCTGTTTGTTTTCCTCTGCTGGAAGGCTCTTCCCCAGCTGTCTGCACCACTGTGCCCTGCACCTCATCAGCGAGGCTTCCAACTGCCCTTGATTTAGGATCACCCCTCCCTCCCTCCCTCACAGTACCCTTCCCTGCTCTCTCTATTCCCTGTAACACATATCGCCTTCCGGGACTTGATATATTTACTTGTTGGTCGCCTCCCCCATTAGATGCGAGTTCCACAAGGGCAAAATTGTCTGTGCCCCTGGTGCTTAGAATAGTTCCAGATACGTGGCAGGTATGCGATAAACATTCATACACGAACGAATAAGTGCGGGAGGGACTCTGTCTTGGTGATTCTCCATGGAATGCTCCCTAGGACGGACCTAGGAGTTGGCCAGGAGCTGTGATTTTGTGGATAGTGGTAGGATCTGGCTACATCCGGGGCAATTTCACCAGGCCAAGAGCAGTCCTAACAGCTCCATCATAAACCTCACCAGGAGGTACAGCGGCCAAGTAGATGCTGACGCTCCCAGAGCGGGGGAGCCGAAGACCTGACCTTGGAAAGGGACCGCTGCAGGGCTGGGGATGAGCAGGCAGGAGGTGTGGTTCCCCGCTCCCTGCATGGTGCTCGGTCTCCACAGACATTGAGCTGGGGAGAAAGAGGAGGCAGTCAGGCATGAGGGGAGTGTTGGTGAGGCTGCCAGACAGGTGTCACTTCTTTTTCCGGGACTCAGTCCCCTTAACCTGCCCTTGGCTCTGCAGATGAATCAGCAAGTTCTAGTCTCTGAGGTTCCTTGCGGCACCTCCCCTGGGGCAGACAAGAGGATCTTGCACAACATTAAGTAACACACGTGGGAAGGCAGCAGGCTCCGAAAGCCAGCAGTAGGCTGGGGACAAGGGTCATCCAGCCCAAACCTATGTCTCTGTATGGAGACCCCCCAGCCCAGGAAACAGCTGGCGCTGGGAACTTGGGGATTGGGGAGGAGGGGACGGTCCTCAGCCTCAGCTGAAAATCAGCACCTCGGGTACACCACTTGAAATACAGTTTCAAGGCACCAAATCTTCACCAATAAATACATAAATAAGTAATAAAAATTTTTTTAAATGCAGGTGTGCCTTGCTTTAAGCCACAACCTATAGGAAAACTGAATACCTACCAAGGATAAGCAAAGGGTGACTCTTCATTTTATTTTAATTTTTTTAGGTTTTTATTTATTTATGTAATCTCTACACCGAACGTGGGACTCGAACTAACGCCCCTGAGATCAGGAGTCACATGTTCCTCCAACCGAGCCAACCAGGTAAGCATCCCTGATTCCTCATTTTAAAGGAGGGTGTTCCAGGGGCACCTGGGTGGCTCAGTGGCTTAAGCATCTGACTATTGATTTCAGCTCAGGTCATGATCTCAGGGTCATGAGATCGAGCCCCGCATTGGGCTCCGCTCAGCGTGGCATCTGCTTGAGATTCTCTCTCTCCCTCTGCCCCTTTACCCACTCACTCTTTCTCTCTCTCTCAATAAATAAATCTTAAAAAAAAAAAAAGTAAAGGAGGATGTTCCTTGGAGATGTTGTGAGCCCCCCTAGTGAACCAGAAATCATTGCCTTTGTCAATATTCTCCTTTCACATATTAATCACTTGAAATGTGTCACTTTCCAGTCTACAATCTGCCTTCAAAGATATGAATACTTTCACACATAACATATTCTCATTAGATTCTCCGAGGACCCTCTGAGTTACCTACAATGATCCCTATTTTACAGATGAGGAAACAGAGGCCTGCGGCAGGCAGATCACACAGTTCAGCCAGGCCTTTCGACTTGCAGCTCGTCCCAGCACACACCCCGTCCCCATGTGACCCCTACAGCTCTGGGACGCTGGTTCGGAGCAGGGCTGTGATCCATGAGAGAGGAGAAAACCGAGCCCGGGAGACTAAGGTTTCCAACAGCCTCCCTCACAGTGAGCCTGGGCTTTGAGGTCAGACAAACCCGGGCTCGCATCTTAGTTTATCACTCCCTAGCTCTACTTGGCACATACTTGACCTCAATGGGCCTCGGTGTCCTCCTCTGTAAAGTGGGTCTCATAATAGCTACGTCACGGGCAGCCCTGAGGGTGAGCTGAAGTGTTAACATGTTATCGCTCAGAGCAGGGCCTCACTCAGAGTTGCTGTGCTGATGCCCGCCATTTTTGGTGTTTTGTTGTGTTTTTTAAGATTTTATTTATTTATTTGTCAGAGAAAGAGAGAGGGAGCAGCAGACTCCCCGCTGAGCAGGGACCCGGGCACCATGACCTGAGCGCAAGGCAGATGCTTAACCAACTGAGCCCCCCAGGCACCCCCATTCTTGTTCTTTGTACAGGATCTCTCACACTTCTGTGAAATATTCAGAGGTGTGTGACGGGCAGTCTCTTCCAGGGGCAGGCAAGACGGCACCCCCGTCCTCAGCCCAGCCCTGCCCTCACCCCTTCCAGAAGGTCACTCCCAACCCCCAGGAGCCTCCCTGCCACCGCCTGGCTCCACTTCACAGCCACGGCCCCGGGCCACCCCGGTGCTGCCTGCAGCAAGGCCCGGAGGCCCGACAGGCCTGGCCTGCCGCCAGGACTTCCTTGGTAGGATGCCCCGCCCCTCCTTCTGGGCCCTTCTATTCTGGGAGCTGTAATTTAGACAGCCTTCCCGCCCCAATTGCTATATCTGTGGCAGCAGTCATCGTCCCCCCGGCCCTGCCCACCCTTTTCATAAACAGCTCCCAGGCTGCCCTGTTATCTTGGGTTCCGTGGCTCTGGGGAGGAGGCCCTGCCACCCTGAAGATACAAATAACCCCTCAATCCGGGGGGCAGCCAGCCCACTGTGGACAGAGGCGGGATGGAACCCTCACCCACGAGAGCCCAATATAGCAGCGCTCAGAACCTGACCCTGAAGTCTGCTGAGGTGGGATGGGATGCCGAAGAGAGAAGAGCCTGCCATTATCCCCCCTACACTCTGAGGACTGGGTTGGCCTGGGCTGTGGTCTCCCCACAGGCCCTTCTCGGCCACAGGGCCATGAAAAGAAGGAGGGGCAGTCAGTAACAGCAACAAAAGTGATCTTTCTAAAACACAGATGTGATTGTGTCAATCTGAGCTCCAAACCTGCAGTGGTTCCCTGTGGCCCTTAGGGATGAGGCTCACAAGACCCTCTGCCTTCTGCTCTTTCTACCACCTCTCTCGCCTCAGGACCTTTGCACAAGCTCTCTCCCTGCCTGGACACAGTTCTCCTCTTCTTCTAACTCCTACTCATCCTACAGGTCTTGGGTTAGAAGTCACTTCTTGGGGTGCCTGGGTGGCTCCATTGGTTAAGCGTCTGCCTTCAGCTCAGGTCATAATCCCAGGGTCCTGGGATGGAGCCCTGGGTTGGGCTCCCTACTCAGCGGGGAGTCTGCTTCTCCCTCTCCCGCTGTCTCTGCCCCTTCTCCCACCTGTGCTCTTTGTCTCTCTCTCTCTCTCTAATAATAAATAAAATCTTTAAAAAAAAGAAGAAGTGGGGCGCCTGGGTGGCTCAGTTGGTTAAGCGACTGCCTTCGGCTCAGGTCATGATCCTGGAGTCCCGGGATCGAGTCCCGCATCGGGCTTCCTGCTCGGCAGGGAGTCTGCTTCTCCCTCTGACCCTCCCCTCTCTCATGTGCTCTCTCTCATTCTCTCTCTCTCAAATAAATAAATAAAATCTTTAAATAAATAAATAAAAAAAATAAAAATAAAAAAATAAAAAAAAGAAGAAGAAGTCACTTTTCATGGAACCTTCCCCTGACATCGACACACATACACACTCCTCTCTGGTCCTCCCCTTGAACTGGGATGGATGTCCCTCCCATGTTTACCAGAATCACCCGGCCCCTGCTGATACACCTGTCTGTCTCCCCAGCAGACTAGAAGCACTCCCAGGGCAGGAACTCTGTCTTGCTTATACGGTTTCTCCAGCACCAAGCCCAATCCTGGCATACAGTAGGCTTAAGAAAAATTTGTTGAAAGAATGCATGAGTGAATAAATGAACAATTCCTCTGCTCCCCCCACCCCCGCCCCGCGGGGGATGAGTGGGTCTCTTGGGGAGGTATTTGCTACTCCGTGCCCAGAAAGCCCCATCTTCATCTCCTGGGTCTTTGTCTTCTACATATAACTTCAGGCTCACTGCACTGATCTGAAAAATACGGTTGCTATGGCCATGGGCCTGCTCGTGGGGAGCCCTGAGAGGCTCTGAGGACGCACTATGGGACAAGGCAGGCATCCCTGGGTTGAGAGGGAGGAGGGCACAGAAAGAGGCAGTCCTCAGGCTTTATTAAGTAATAAACCAAGAAGCAAGGCGGCTGGGCATATCAAATGGGCAGCTTTGGTCACCTCTGCTATGACACAGGGACACACTTTGTATTTTGCCTGCTCCAAAACGGTAAATGGCAAAAAATAACCCGCGATTACAGCAACAGCATGGAGTTAGATGATTCTACCAGTAAGCCAGGTACATTATTGGAGGGCCTTTGAAATTGGAGTTTCTGTGTCCAAATTGCATTTCCTCCATCGTTTCTCTCATCCTGCAGTCTCACTTGGATTTGTCCCAGATCACCTGCCCCGATTGAAGGCTGGGAAGATCTATCACTGTGTTTACTCCCCGGAATACAGCCACGGAGCCCAGGTCGAGGGCCCAAGCCTTTTAGGGAGAGAACAAGAGAGCAGTGGGGGCTCAGCGTGCCACCTCCCCACTCCTGGAGGCCGTAGGATGAGAAGGTCAAAGACAGGCCTGGTGAAGACAATCAATCTAGTGGCCAAATAGACAAAAACTGCTCTGGGTGGGTGACATGATCGAGACAAGCTTCCACCTCAGGGCCTTTGCATGTGCTGTTCGTGCTGCCTGATGTTCTCTCCTCTCATATTTCTATATGGCTCGCTCCCTCACGTCTTTGCTTAACCGGCCCCTGCTCAGTCAGACTTTCCCTGGCCACCCTTTTTAAATCGAAGCTCCCTCCCCCTCCCATTTCCCTGCTTTATTTGTCTCCATAGAACTTCCTGCTATCTGATATACTGAGTTCTTTCCCTCTCCCCCCACTCCCTTCCTTCCTTCCTTCCACTGGCTGCCTCCTTTAATAGAATATGAGAACCATGGCAATTGTGTTTACAGATGTATCTCTGGTTCTCTCTTGCTGTGTAACAGATCACCCTAAAAACTCAGCAGCTTCTTATTATCTCCACAGTGTCTCTGAGCCAAGAGTCCTAACAAGATTATAGTCATCTCAGAGCCTGACTGGGGCTGGAGGGCTGCGCCCAAACTCACTCATGTGGTTGTCGTTGACAGGCCTCAGGTCTGCACCGGCTGCTGGCCTGAGGCTTCATTTCCTTGCCTGTGAGCTTCCCCATGGGGCTGTCCACAGCCCGGCAACTGAGGGAGTGACCCCCAAAAGGAGGAGAGCAAGAGAGCGGGAGAGCGCCCAAGACGAAGCGCAGTCTGTCATAACCCACACTGGAAGGGCTGTGCCTTCACTTCTGCCCCCCGCCACGGGTCACTCACAACCACCCTGGCACAGTATGGGAGGGGCCCGCGGGAGGATGTGGGTGCCAGGATGTGGGCAGCATCGAAGCCATCTTGGAGGCCGGCTACCAAGCCCCCACACAGCCCTGGCATATAGAAGATGCTCAAGAAATCGGAGAAAGAAAGAATGAAGGTAGGAATGACTCCAGCAGAATGCGTCTAGGCTTCGTACCCACAGGGAGCTAAGAGCCCTGACCACTGCCCCATCCCTGAAGGATCTTAAACACATTGAGCTTTCCTCACCCCTCACCCCACATCCACCACCACCTCTCCCCAGCCGGGTGACCTTGGGCAAGTTCCTCAACTCAGGGGCCTGCTGTGAGGATTTGAAAAGACAAGGAGGGGGGCACCTGGGTGGGGGCTCAGTTGGTTGGGTGACTGCCTTTGGCTCAGGTCATGATCCTGGAGTCCCGGGATCGAGTCCCGCATCGGGCTCCCTGCTCAGCAGGGAGTCTGCTTCTCCCTCTGACCCTCCCCCTCTCATGCTCGCTCTCTCTCTCTCAAATAAATAAAATCTTAAAAAAAAATAAAAAAATAGGGCGCCTGGGTGGCTCAGTTGGTTGAGCGACTGCCTTCGGCTCAGGTCATGATCCCAGGGTCCTGGGATCGAGCCCCGCATCGGGCTCCCAGCTCAGCAGGAAGCCTGCTTCTCCCTCTCCCACTCCCCCTGCTTGTGTTCCTGCTCTCGCTGTCTCTGTCTCTGTCAAATAAATAAATAAAATCTTTTTAAAAAATAAAATAAAATAAATAAAAAAATAAAAAGACAAGGAGGATATTAACTAGCTAGAATTTAAATACAAATTTAAAAAATAAAATTAAAAAAAAAAGTTGAGGAGGTAGGCATCGTAGAGTCCGACACACACGAGTCCTCAATAAATGTCACCATGGTGGGCAGTACTGCGTGTTACTCATATTGGAGGGAAAAAAACCAAAGTAGCTCCCTGGAGTCAGGAGCCGTTTTAGAGCGGGCGATGGTGTGTGTGTGTGTGTGTGCATGCGTGTGTGTGTGTTTCTATAGGGTTCTGTCCCAGGTCGGCGGTGCCGGCGGATGACTCATGTGGTCCAGACACCAGGTTTATCACTTGGGCCAGAGATGGTCACGTGCTGGGGCCTTAGTCACCCAAACGGGCAGGACTGATGAGCCCGTGGGCCACTGCCCATTTACACTGAGTTAGCATGTATGACCCCAGTGGTTCTTAAACTTTTTGCAGAGAGGGGAGGGAAGGACAGGTGGTGTCAGGGAATCTTTTGAAAGTTTACATGAAAAATGCACATTTACATGTAAACACAAAAAAGTATCTACAGCAAGCTCAGGCCGCTCACAGGTGGACCAGGGCTCCAGAACGTTCGTGTTCCACTGCGGCCTCCGGAGAGACCAGGCGGGGCCTGTGCCTCCTGAACAAATGAATGAATGCGTGCATACCTGGACGAAGAAATAAAAGAACGAAAGCCCCAGAATCTTGGCATCTTTGCTGGTTGGCAGCACATCCTCTCCCCCTGTACAATGGCCTCAGAAAAACTGGCAGGTTTCAAAAGAGCCGCGTTCAAGTTCTGCCTTAGCCACCTTGGACTTGTCCCCTGACCTCCCTCTGCTTCGTTTTCCTCATCAGGAAAATAATATGAATTGCAGACACTGTTTTGTAAGCTACAAAGCCTACGGAACACACAAGGGGCTCTCACTTTGGTCCGACTCTTATTGTGAGGGTGCTTCTCCAGCTCCCAACTGCACAGACCTGCCTTGGGGATGGGAAGGTTCCTCCGTGGGGCGGGGTGCTCAGGGGGAAGCTGTAAAAACCGGCTGAGCTGCAGGCCCTTCCTTCGTTAGCATATCCCCGGTGAGACCGCCCAGGTTAAGCCAGGAAGCTTGCCACGGTGTCATTCCCTGCCTAAGGCCACACCCACACAAGTAGCCGAGATTGAGAGTCTTGGGATCATTCAGGTAACAAATATTTTTTGAGCAACTACTTCAGATCAAGGGCTGCACTAGGTGCTGGGGACACCATGGGAGCAAACCCACTCTGGTCCTTATTGTCGCGGAGCTGACAGTCTGAGGGAAATAGATATTAATTGATCAGCCAGGAGGAGCCCAGGGTGCTGTGGAGGTGTGTCATGAGAGGGAGGGTGTCTGGGCAGGGCTAGTTTCCTTTTAGAAGTGACAGATGAGGGCGCCTGGGTGGCTCAGTTGGTTAAGCGACTGCCTTCGGCTCAGGTCATGATCCTGGAGTCTCAGGATCGAGTCCTGCATCGGGCTCCCTGAGTCTGCTTCTCCCTCTGACCCTCCCCCCTCTCATGTGCTCTCTCTCTCTCATTCTCTCTCTCAAATAAATAAATAAAATCTTAAAAAAAAAAAAAAAAGAAGTGACAGATGAGCTGAGCCCTGCACTCAGTGGGATGGATGCGGTGGGAATTACGCTGGAAAGAGGACATGGCAAGTGCAAAGGGCCTGTGGTAGCACATTTGAAAGGCTGAAACAAGGCTGTTACACAGAGCGAGCAGGGGAGGGATGCAAGAAGTAACCAGGGACACGAGGCAGGCCGAGACGAAATCACCTTGTTCTCTTTAATGTGACATTTGCGAAAAACGGAGGAAATGGAGTGGCAGATTTCAAGACTCTGAAAGCCATTACACAGAAGGAGGGTGCCTTAGAAGCCAAGTGAGAGGAAATATCCCAGCAAGAGGGATTTGAGTCAGACTGTAAGGACTTCCTGGCCCAACTGGGACCCTGGGTGGGGAGGGGTGACTTTCTCAACCACCTGCCGAGGGTGTCTGCCAGGTAGCAGAAAGGATGTCTGCACGTTCACCTCTTTACCCAGCTCCCTCTGCCACATGACTCCCCATCCTTGCTGCTTACTGAGGGGGGATAGTGGACAGCTCTGTCTGGGTGAGTCTGTTGTGGGAGAGGGGCTGGCTTGGGGAAGGCAGGGAGGGAAAGATGCAAGGGTGGGGAGATTGCTCTCAAGTGTCTCCAGGCTGTTCAGGGGATGTGGAGAAAGAAGGGAGGGAAAGCCAGCAGCAGGCAAGAGTAGGAGCTGAGGTGGGACGGGGAAGGAGAGTGGTCAGGATGGGGGCATCCCTGGGGGGTGGACCTGACCCCCAGATTATGAGTCTCCTCCTTAGCCCAGAGGCACCTCAGGTCCCAGCTGCTTTACCTGCTGAAGTCCAAGACAGAATGGTCCCGGGCAGAACAGATCTGCCAGTTGTCTGACACTTTTGGGAAAAGCTGTTCGCTTATCTCTGTCTCCTCTCTAGACTGTAAGTTCCCTGAGGCAGGGTCTGTGTCTTCTTCAATGTCTTATCTCCCAGGGCCTGACACAGTTAGCAGTTGTCCAATGAAGGACAGCACAAATGAGTACTGTATCGTAGGGAGGACCCGGAGAGCGGGAGACGGTCGGCAGCCACCCACGGAACAGAGCTCGGAAGATCTGAACCTCGATCTACGTTATTGCCAGGTTCTCCCGAGCACCAGCGCGGGGGTGAGGCAGCCCATGCCCATCCACAGAAGGGCAAGTCAAAACTCGTGCGAATCCTGCTTCTGCCACTTCCCAGTTCTGGGGCCTTGGACAGACTACATACCACTCGGTGCCTCATTTTTCTCATCTGTAAGGTGGAGGAACAAATAGATCCTAGGGTTGATGTGAGAATGAAGAGAGCTGAGCCTTTAGAACACTGCTTGGCACCCACAGTAAGCGCTCCATCAATGCCAGTGACTGTCGTCTAGGAAGGGGACGAGAGACCTGAAAAGTCCCTACGCCCCAGCATGACGCCTTAGGCCCAGAGCACCGCCGGCAGAACCCGCAGAACTGCGAACGGGGCCCTCCCGGTGGCCTCCGGCGCTAAGCCCACCTGCACAAGTCGCCAGGTCACTGAAGGCCCTCAGCCTCCTCCAGACAGAGAAGTGCAGACCTCAACATCGGAGCTGACTGCCACTTGCTGCACAGTGTCCTTGGGCAACGCACTTTCTTAATGTCCCCAAGCTTCTGCTTTTTCATTTGTAAAAAGGAGAATACTAAAACCCATCGGTCGGGGTTGTCGTGCGGATTACGTGCCTGGCACAAAATGGTCCTTCCCGGAGCTGGAGCTGGAGTGTTCGGAGGAACCAGGCGATCTGCCCCTCCCCTTCCGCCACTGCCCCTCCCCCACCAGGCCTGTCGCAGAGCCAGAGTCCCGGGTCCTGATTCCTGGCCTCCCGGGCTCTAACGCCAAAACCTTAGGCGAGAGTCACACCCTCTTCGTCAAGGCCAACCGGAGAGCCCCATCCCTGGCCACCTGAGTCAGGCTTCCCCGGAAACTCCTGTGTCTGTCGCCTCAGATGACCCCAGCCCCGCAAGCTCTCTGCTAGACTGACAGCCGGGAGTTCTAAGGTGAACCCCACAGGAAAAGAGGAAGTTCTGCAGCTGAGTGCTGGGCAGAGGCCTCACCCTGCTGGGGCCCGGGATGGGGTGAGGTGGGAGGTAGGACTCCCCTCCCCTTTCCGTCCCCCTCTTTAGACACATGGCTGATCATCCAACTTGTCCAACTGCGCAGCTGTGTTCATTGGCACAATGAGGGGGGAAAGTTTAAGAGAGGTAGGATTGTGCCCTGAAAAGTTCAGCGTAGGGGGAACTGGGAGTTTCTAGATTTATTCCACAGAGGTGCTTTGCACAGAGCCCCTGTGGCTCTGATATCCGCAAGCCTGGAAGGCAGAGGTGGGCAGTAAGAACTGGCTCAGGCCGCCACCCACAGAAAGTTACGGCCCGCCCCACCCTCAGCCCCATCGGTGGAAAACGGCAGAAAGGGTGTTCGTCGTCAGCGTCAGCATCTGGATCTGCATCTAGTGCCTCCTTGGGGGCGTGTGACTCTGGGCAACTCATCTGATCTCTCTGAGCCTCAATTTCCCTGTTGGAAAATGGGGATAATCCTGCAGTGACCAGTTAGAAGATAAAATGAGGAGACACAAACGGAGTGCTAGGTCGAGCTGAACACAGCAGACGATGTGTTTCATTTAACAACAAACATCTAAGGCCTACTATGCGCCAACAGTCTCCGTGCTGGGGTGGGTGGAACATTACCACATAAGGCAAACGTGGTCTCTGCCCTCCTGTTGCTGACAGGGGTGGCAGACGCTGAAGGAGGGGCACAGTGTGGGGTAAAGGTTAAGGCGACCAGGCTGGGGGACACCTGGGTGGCTCAGTCGGTTAAGCTCAGGCCATGATCCCGGGGTCCTGGGATCGAGCCCCACATCAGGCTCCCTGCTCAGCAGAGAGCCTGCTTCTCCCTCTCCCTCTGCCTGCCGCTCCCCCTGCTTGTGCTCTCTCTCTCTCTGACAAATTAAAAAACAAACAAACAAAAAAAACCCTTAACAACAAAAAGGCAACCAGGCTGGAAGCCCAGCTGTACCATTCACCTGCTGGATGACCCTGGGCAAGCTCAACTCTTTGTGCCCCGATTTCCCAACAGCAGAAGGAGCCATGCGGCATTTCAGAGAGTGGTGAGGATTATGTGAGCTGATCCACGGAAGTGTACTGACGGCATTCCCCCCATGTTCTGGAGGCACACAGGTGATCGGTGTGATAGAAGGAGCTTCAGGATGTGTGACAGAGACCGAGCTCACCCAGCAAATGGGGCAGGTGTGTTCCTGAGGAGGGAAGTCCCCAGGAAACATGAGGGGTGCTGCAGAGCGGGAAGAGAGGGTGGGCAGCGAGGACAGGGGCGTGAGCGGCAAGGCAGTGAAGGAGCTGGGGAGCTGGGGAGCTGGAAGTTACAGTCAAGGGTTTTAAGCAGCTGTAAAGCGTTCGTTCTCCTTTGTACATGCACAGGGTAATTCCTTGCTGACCCTCCTTCCCCCGCAGGTTTCCAGAGCCACGGGCTGCCAGATCCCACAGGGCCTTTCCACCTGCCGGCTTTCTTGGAGGAGTGGAGCAGGGGGAGACTTAGACCCCGGCCTGGGGGCGCCTAGGCTCTGCATCCACACAGCTCCTTTGTGACCCCGTGGGCCAGGTGTGCCTAGGTTTGAACCCAGGCAAGTAATTTCTCCTGTTGTGAATATGCAACTGTTAAGTGCAGCAACCTACTACAGTGCCCTGTTCATAGTACGTTCTCGGTATATGTAAGTTTTGGCTCTCTGCTGTTGAAACATAAGCTTCTCCTCAACCATCGGGCTGGAGGGCAGAGGGAGCTGGGGGGAGGGCTTGGGTCGGGGGCGGGGGGGAAGGGGGAGGCAGGGGAGTGTGGCTAGGCACCAACGCTTACGAAACAGAAGAGAAAGTGGGTTTTTTATTTACAACACCACTTGCAAAGGGCAAACAGTTGGGTCCTTAAATCAGTGTTCACGGGGTAGGGGAGTGGGAGAGCCCCTTCCCCGGCAATCCCCTGTAACCTGTAACCGAGGAAGGGTCCCAAGAGGCGAGGTGCCGCGACTCCGCGCGGAGGGCAGAGCTAGGCGCACGTGGGGGAGGAACTGCTTTTCCTGGGCTGGGGCAACGGGGCCGACCGCTGGGCTTAGGAGCCAAGAAGGGCCTGGGGGCTGGCGGTAGGGGTGCATTTCTGCAAATCTCAGGGCTCAGCGCCCTGGAGGCACAGCCCTGCCACTTCTGGGTGTGCGGGCGGGGACTCACGCAGAGCCCCGCAGCCGCTCCAGCGAGGGTGCCCCCCACCCACGCTCCTCCGCAGGGATGCGCTCCCTCTCTCCTTTCTCCCTGCGCGCAACCCCACCTTCGCTCGCGCTCGGGGAGCCTGCGGGACAGCCGGGAGGCGTGGCCCGCAAGCGGCCCGCCCCTTTGATGTGCGCCGGCGCCGCTGTGATTGGACAGTCGCTTGTGACGTGCGGGGACTGCGGTGGGCCCGGGTGCTGCGGCAGCCGCAGCGCCAGCCGCGGCTCGGGCTCCGGCTCCCGGGCATTTAAAGGGGACGCGGCGGCTGCCCGGAGGGATGGGGGGCAGGTGGAGGGGGCGGCCCAGACGCACATCATCCACGGGCCCTCGGGACTGGAGGGACTCGTGAGCCGGAGCCCAGAAATCCGGGGGTGGATAAGACACCGCGTCCCCTCCAATTCCCGTAAGCACCCTTTGCCCCATCCTGCGCCCAAATACCTCAGCTAGCCCCTCTCCCCCATTCTTTACACTCCAAACTAAGCCGGGACAGACCTCTACCGCTGCCGCTCCCCACGTGAGTCCTGGGCTCCCCGAGGTAGGGGAGGGCTGGGGTCCCAGTGTGGGGTGGGGGCTGCGTGGAGTTTGAGGGCGCTCCTTCACGTGTGTCAGTGGGGGAGTCCCTGGAGCGGAGAAATGAGTCCTCCTTCTTTCTCCTACCCCACGAACGTGGTGCCGGGATAGCCCTCTGTCCCCGACTCGGGCAAAGCGAAGGAATCTGTGCCCCCTTGCTCCCCGCCACCCACCAGTCCCCTGGGCTCCCCGAGCTGCGCACCCCCCTGCCCCGCATTGGAGCGAAGCACCCGCCAGCTGGGGGTGTGCCAGAATGCCTGCTTTCCAGCCACCTCTAAAAATATCTCTCCCCCCACTCCACCGGCAGCTGCCACCTCCCTGTCCACCGAGGATCCCCTTCCAGCTTGTCCACCCAGGCAGGGCGAGCCCAGAGGGGACTCCTGGTCCCAGCTAATGCACTGACACCAGGGCTCCAGGTCCTCAGGGCCAGCTTACTCACAGCCCAAGGGGGTCTCCAGGGCAATAGGGGGAGCTCTGGCTGCAACTTTGCCAAGAGGCACCAGGAACTCCTGAGTTCTGATCCTGCATCTGATGTTGTGTGACCACCCCCCCCCCTCCCCCGGGATGCTAGCTTGACCTCTCTGGGCCTCCGTTTTTCCTATTTGCTGCTGATGGTGGTAAGAAGGAAGAGACCATGATAAAGCTGGAATACAGTCTTGGGGAGGGAGAAAACTTCAGCTTAGTTGTGGGATCCAGTTCCTAGTGATTGATAGAAGACCACCTGGGCTTGGGCAGGAGGCTTGTAACTGTGGTATCTGCAGGGTCCTCCATCCCCACTTCCATCCCTATCCTCCACATTTCCTGGGGAAGACTGTCCCCGAACTGTCCTGTGGGCTCCCAGTCCCCTCATTAAGGGGGGAGGGGGGGGAATTTCAAACTGTTTCTCCCTCCCCCATCCCCATTCCCACAAATATCATCTGAAAGCATTTTTGTCAAAGGCAGGAGGAAACAAGGAGGAATCTGGTGATCTGATGTGGAATCAGGGAGGCGAGCACCACTTTTAGGTGGGACTAGAATATGGACTCCCTGCCACCCCAAAGAAACCCCTCTCTCCTCTCTCTGCTCTAGCCATCTGGAGAAGCTCCTAGATCCTGTCCCCCTTTTCTCTGAGGGACTCTTTTTGGTGACCACAAAAGGATTTGGTCACTTAGGACAAAGCTGCCAGAGGTGAGTAACCTTTCTGAACGTCATGAGAAGCAGATGCCAGAGGGGCCTGGGGTGCCACTGATTACCGTGGGGGTATGGGTGGCATGGCAGCACAGCCTTTTCTTTCTGGGGGAATAAACTCAGGATGCGTGGCTTTCTGCTCTGGGGACTAAAAAAACAAGGGCAACTCACTAAACAACAAATGTTGAACCGATTTCCCTAAATAGTATTATTAGATGAAAAAATATACCATGTCTTTTGCTCTAATAAACGAGAAGTTCTGTACATGATTGAAAATCAGTGGACCATTCCTCCAAATTTTTAAAAGGAAAAGAAAAAGAAACAAGGGCAAAACCAGGAGACCCTTTTCTATGGGATGAAAGTTGGTCTCTGGGTGGCTGCTTGAAGAGCCTGTGTATCTTTCTATGGCCCGCTCTCTTCTCCCCGAGCCCCGCACGTGTCGTCTGTGTCTGTGTGTGCCGTGGGGCTGTTTGCTTTTACCGCAGAAGTGGCATCCCCTGACCTTTCTCCTCAAACTCACTAGGCCTGGGGGCACACATGGGATATCAGGCTGGATCCTGGAAGTTTGGAACTCCTCCAGATAGGGCCTGGGAAGAGCCCTTCCATCCTCCCAAACATGCTATTCCAGTGTCCCCATGCCTTCTCTCCCATCTTCTCCTTGACCCCTCCCCTAACCCCCACCTTTTTCTGCCCCCTGCCCCATTCAGCTTTGGCTGCCTTTCCGGATTCCTAGATTGAAAGATCTTCAGTGGAAAAGCTGAGACCCACCTCCATCCATATCAAAAGGGCTTAATGCACATCTGGTTAGGGCGTGGCGAGGGGTGGGGTAGCTCCAGGGGATAGGGGCCCTCCCTCTGACCTATGCCCTGTTCCTGGGAGGTCCCAATCTCTGTCTCGGGGGCCCTCAGCTTCTCCCTGAGGGTCTGGGATGGTCTGGGGAGCATGTCACCTTGACAAAGTCAGGCGTTTCCAGTGTCATCCGCTGTCACCACCAGAGGGCAGCAACCAGCCAGGACTTTGCTCCTTTCCCGGTCTAGTCCCCTGGTTCTCAGTATCTTTCCAGATCTGTCCCAGCTGCTTCTAGTCTCTCATTCAACCCCAAGGTGGGGGGGTGGGGGGATGGGGCATGGAGAGGCACTGGGGGCTGTAGGTGCTGTCCTCTGTAGCTGAGCTGCTGAAGCCCCCGCGAAGCCAGCCCCTGTCCCCAAAGCCACCCAGCAAAGCCCCGCAGAAATTTCAAACTGACTTCCAGCCGATTGCCAGCCTCTGAAAGCACCAGGGAGGCCAGTCCCAGATCATCTGTGATGCTCAGGGGTCCCGGCCCCCAGCTGTGGTACAGTGACCCGGGCATCTGCCCCTTCCCTTTTAAGGGCAGAGAGCATACAAGGGCTGTGGCCAGGTGTTCATGAACCAGGCTCCCTGGGGACACAGCACAGCCTCTGGCAAGTTAACCTCTCTGGGCCCTTATCTGCTGAATTCATGGGACTGCGATGAGCAGTGGGAGAACACTGGTGCGGGTGATGTGTAAACCATGACACAAGAATGGGGGCCAGGATTATACTGGAGAGAAAAGCGCTGGTCTCAGACCCTAAGTTCTGGTTTTGAGATCTGTCTTTGCCACTTACCTTTGAATAAATTGGCTAACCGTTCTGGATCTCCAATTAATATCACCTATAACCTCTCGAATGTCCCAGGGGGTGGGTAGGAGGATACGTAGCAAGGGCTTTGCCATCTGTGAGCGCTGTGCCTATTTGAGGGGTTTTCACTGAGCCCCTGGGAGTGGTTCCCGGGGCTCAGCAAAGGAGATAGAATCAGGTGCGCATTAGTAGTGGAAACAAAGCTAGCTGCTGGCGCTCTCAGACAGAACTTGTGTGGTTCTCAGGAGCTCTGGACGACGGCTGGAGGCCGACAGAGTCCCTACAGGTGGTGCCCAGGGTGATGCAGTGACAATGAGCGGGTGTTTTCCAGTTGCTGGCCTCCGATGCCTGTCTAGGGTAAGTGGGTCCCTCCAGGGGTCTCTTAGGATGAGGTCTCAACCCCCTTCCCATTATGGGGTGGAAGGAGCCCTATCCAGCCCCCTTTAGGCCTACCCTCCTCTCTACTGGGCCTCCACTAATCCCTGGAAGCTTCCATCCCAGGTGTGGGGTCCTGCTGCTTTACGTACTCCAGGGATCCTGGGCCACTGAGACTTCCAGATGGATGTCGATGAGACCAGAGGGTGACTCTAGGGATGAGCTCAAAGGGACAGTGCTATTAGGGAGGCAGAGAGCTAGGTCCACATCCCAGCTCTGAAATTCGGAGCTTGGACTTCCGTTTCACAAGGTAGGCCAGGCCACAAACATCACAGGAATATCAGAGATCGAGTTAGGAAGAAGCCAGAAGGAGGAGTGGTTATGTCTGGACTGACTGAGGTGGGAGGCCAGGAGGGAGAAACGCAGTGTGGTGGGTATTCTGAAGTGGTACGTGATTTGCTCTCTGCCCGTCCGCCGGCTGGCAAAGGTGGCGGGACAGGCTGCTGAGGGCTTCTGTGGCCTCCATTCGCTTGCCTTTCTTTGTGCCTCACACTTGCACTCTTTTTTTTTTTTTTTTTAAGATTCTATTTATTTATTTGACAGCGAGAGACATAGCGAGAGAGGGAACACAAGCAGGGGGAGTGGGAGAGGGAGAAGCAGGCTTCCTGCAGAGCAAGGAGCCCGATGCGGGGCTCGATCCCAGGACCCTGGGATCATGACCTGAGCCGAAGGCAGATGCTTAACAACTGAGCCACCCAGGCGCCCCACACTTGCGCTCTTGTCCCACGTCCTCTGTAGGTGGGACTCTGGTCCAAGGTCTCCACTTCCTGGAGCCCCCCGTCCCCAGCCTGTCCCCCTGTGCAGTCTGTCTCCAGGTGCCCCTGGCATGATCTCCTCCTAGCCTTCCCCTTCCCCATCCTGTGCCCACTCCCTGCTCCCTCCCCTCTGCCTTTTCAGCCACTGCTGCTCTCTTTCCTCTCCCTCACCTGTCTCCCAGGTATGTCGTGGCCTGGCTCGGGAAGCTCCTACCTCCCCAAGCCCCACTGCTTCTGCTGCCCGCTGCCTTCGGACTCTGGCAGAAACCCCACCCGCTGACGTGTTCCTCCCAGGGAACTGGCAAGTGATTAGTTATGAGCTCTCAGCACAGGGCCCGAAAACTCCCTGGAGAAGCAGTGTTCCAACCTGGGACCCCATCTGGCTGGAAGCAGCTCCCAGAGAGCCTTCCTGGGTCAACCCAGCGACCTGGTTATTCCAAGAGCTAAAATCTAGTTCTCTGGCCAGTGCGGAGGCCCAGGCACTTAGCTCTCCAGGCCCAGCCCTTAGTAACGATCCAGGCCCGAGGACCTGGCATTCACAGTCCACATGCCTTGGATGATACCAACGAGTGTTCCCTGGAGCCTGGCCTATTGGCCACAGTCCCATCAGCTGGGCTTGGCCCAAAAAGGGAATGAGGAGGCTGCTTCAGTTGGGTGAATGCCTGGTTTCCCTGACCTACGTTTGTTAGGGAAGAAGGTGGAGAGCACTCCACACCAACAACAAGGGTCACTGGAAGTCTCCAGAACGACCTAGTCCAGAAACCTCCCCCAAAGGGGTGTCCCCTTGGAAGCTGCGCTTCCCCTCCGTTTAGCTGACCCTGTTAAGCCCCGTGGCCCCAGAGGAGAGTAGCAGAAACAGGTGCTAAGGAAGCCCTTCTGGGTTCAGGAGGAGGATGTCTTCTGTGGATAAACCCCATCACAGTTCACTGAGAGGCGCCAACGGGGTTGGGCAGGGGAGGCTGGGGTGGGGGCGGCGGCGTTGGGTCCTCCGCCCAGCTTAACCTGCCTTGGGTCCTCCTCAGGTCTTGGATGTGCCAGCGCCTCTGGCCGTGGGCCGCTAACCAGCCTCTCCCGGGCCGGCCCGCGCCGCGCCCCCTCTCGCTTGCTCCCTCCTCCTCCTCCTCCTCCTCCTCCTCCTCCCTCCCCTGCTCCCAGGACGGCGGGATGGCCGCGCAGGGCGCGCCGCGCTTCCTCCTGACCTTTGATTTCGACGAGACGATAGTGGACGAAAACAGCGACGACTCGATCGTGCGCGCCGCGCCGGGCCAGCGGCTGCCCGAGAGCCTGCGGGCCACCTACCGCGAGGGCTTCTACAACGAGTACATGCAGCGCGTCTTCCAGTACCTGGGCGAGCAGGGCGTGCGGCCCCGGGACCTGCGCGCCATCTACGAGGCCATCCCCCTGTCGCCCGGCATGAGCGACCTGCTGCAGTTCGTGGCCAAGCAGGGCTCCTGCTTCGAGGTGATCCTCATCTCGGACGCCAACACCTTCGGCGTGGAGAGCGCGCTGCGCGCCGCGGGCCACCAAGGCCTGTTCCGCCGCATCCTCAGCAACCCGTCGGGGCCCGATGCGCGGGGGCTGCTGGCGCTGCGGCCCTTCCACACGCACAGCTGCGCGCGCTGCCCCGCCAACATGTGCAAGCACAAGGTGCTCAGCGACTACCTGCGCGAGCGGGCCCACGACGGCGTGCACTTCGAGCGCCTCTTCTACGTGGGCGACGGCGCCAACGACTTCTGCCCCATGGGGCTGCTGGCGGGCGGCGACGTGGCCTTCCCGCGCCGCGGCTACCCCATGCACCGCCTTATCCAGGAGGCGCAGAAGGCCGAGCCCAGCTCGTTCCGCGCCAGCGTGGTGCCCTGGGAAACGGCCACCGACGTGCGCCTCCATCTGCAACAGGTGCTGAAGACGTGCTGAGGACGGCGGCCTGCAGGGGGCGCCCGGGCGGAGGAGGGGCGGGGTGGGGGGAGAGCGGGAAAGACAAACCTAGTTTTATTACTCCCTTTTCCCTTTGGCTTCGGTATGTCCCTCCGGGAATTTCGGGGATTCCGGGCTCGTCCCCCCGGGGGCTGGGGGAGGGAGTTCGGAGCCGTCCCTATCTATGCAGTTAACCCAGCGCGGCTGCCTGCCCCCTTTGCACTGCAACGTTTCGTTCTGGAGTCTGGCCCCACCGAGGGGGTGCGCATACCCGGGAAGGCAGCGGTGTTTCCAAAATCCTTGTCCTCCGAACTGGGAGGAAGGGGTTCCCTGGCAGGGGAGAAAGGAACATCTCCCGCTGCTTTAACTGCTCCCTTGAGCTGCGGAACCTTCCCAACCCCCTTTCTTCTGTTAAGGGAACTCCGTCCCGAAAGCCTCCAGGTCGCGCCGGAATCCCAGCCGAGAGAGATGAGGCTCTCCACCGACGGCCTCAGGCCTAGGTCTTGCTTTACCTACCGCGTCTCCACACTACACCCTTTTTCTTCTTGCCTCCCTTCCCGCACTCCACCCCACCGCCCACCCCACCCCCCCGCCAGCATCCCCAAAGTGGGGGGGAAAAAAGCCGGAGGGAACAGTCGCCTCCTGGTGGTGGAACGAGGTAGCACACGGTCCGGCTGGGGTCCATCCAGCCCGGGACCTCGCAGCGCGCGACGGTGTCTCCTCTCACCCCAGCCTCGTCTATGCAGCAAGAGACCAGGGACTTTACCAAAGTCGCCCCGCGGGCTGGGCACTCTGCGCCCCCTCCTCCCGTATGGAACAGAAAGCCATGATGTTTTAAAGCAGAGCCAGCGAAAGCCAAGCCCCTCCCTCTTTGGTGTTTCAGAGCTATAAAGGAGGTGAAGGGGGGAAGCGCTGACTGAGATCTCTCGCGCCGATGTCTGAAGGGTGAGGGCGAGGCGATCCCTGCCCTCAGAGAGCCCCACATAAATGGGGGAGTTGGTGTTACCCCCCCGCCCCCCTGTCGGGGAAGAGTGCCCAGCTTGAGGAACCAAAACCGAGCAGAACACAGCAAAGCAACAGGCAAAAGAACAGGATGCAGTCAGTCGGTGCCCAGCCTCAGGGGTCTAGTGTAGAGGGCACTTAGGACGGAAATGATGGGGAGAGGCGGCTGCCCGGGCAGGCAGAGGGGGCTCAGTAATTAGCAGGAGCCTTTCACTCCCTTCTCTCTCTCTCTCTCTCTCTCTCTTTCTCGGGCCCCCTAGCCCTGCAGGGCAATCGCCAGGAAGTCATCAGAGTTTTATTCGAAGTTGGCACTTGCAGCTGGAGACCCCATCCTTCGTGGAGTAGGGGGTCCTCTGTGGACAAGATCACCAAACTCTTTGACTTCCAGTTCTTTCCTGTCCACAGCAGGCCTTTGGGTACATCCTCTCTCTCCCCAGGACCCCTTCCCACCAAAATGAGGGGAAGGGACAGGCCCAGCTCACAGACCAAGAGGTGGGCAGGCCTAGTCCAGCCTTGACCGTGGAGCTGGCTTTGTGCTGGAACTCAAGGACCTCACTCGGGGCCGTGCGTGGGTCAGGAGCTCAGAGAGCCCCAGGCTGTCAACAGCTGGGCTCCACATAGTTCCCCGGGAAAAATCCAGTGCCCTCCGAGCTGACGCCCTCGCACCAGCCATCTGAGTAGCGGCGTGTGATGCAGATGATGGTGCCCTCGGAGAAGGAGAGCTCGTTGTCCTTCTGGCGGGTGTATGGGTACAATGTCACCACTGCAGGGCGGGAGGAGAGGTTGCCATGAGACGTGCCTCCCGCCCTACTATGGGGATGTCAGGGAACATCTAGGGGGACGGCTGCAGGGAGTGGGGCTCCGAAGCTCTTGGTACCCCCTCCCCAGCTGGGTTTAATAATACTCAGTGCCAGGCCAGCTGCTGTCTTTCCAGCTTGGATCCCCACTCCTGGATGAACGTTTGGTCAGTTCATCAGGAAATAGGGAGGGGTGTGTGTGGGGGTGGTGTACAGGCTTATACCTTTGCAGATTCTAGAGTAGAACCCCGGGCGGGGGGGGAGTGGGGAGGGATCCCTAGTCCCAGGAGTCAGGTACCTTTCTCCAGGTACGCAGCAGGGACCCAGCTAGGCTCTTCAGGCCCAAAGTCTGGTGGGGGCAGAGGCGGCAGCCCCAGTTCATCTAGATCCAGGGGCGGAGGAGGGGGCAGGTCCAGGGGTGGAGGCAACTCCGGTGCTGGGAGGGAAAGAGAAAGCCTGCAGATGTGGCCCAGCGGACCCCCTCCAATGGCCTCCAGGAAACTTCGCTGTTCATAGTCGGAGCTCCGGCATCTACCCATTTTCTGTAATCTTTCTCCAGCCCCAGCCCATCATGGCCTCCAGGACGAGGCTTCTAGAACGCAGTAGGTTCCCAGCAAACAAATGTTGAGCAGTGTAGGGCAGTGAGGCTCTGCCACTTAGCTGGGTGACTCTCGGGCAGGTCACTTAATTGAACCTGTCAACCTCAACTTCCATCTGTTAAACCAGAGTGTGAAGATCCTCTCACGGTTGTTAAAAGTTTAGTTGCGAAAATGGATGAGAAGCTAGAACACAGAGCCTGGTATAAGGCAGGCGCTAAGCTGAGTTGTTAGCTCACTTTCTCGGGCCCCTTCCTCTCCGCTACCCCTACCCGGACGAGGCGTTCCCTGAGGCGGGCCGATTGGAGGGCGAGGGTGGGGAGGTGAGAAGAGACCCCGCGGTTGAGCGAGGAGAGGGCGGAGCTCCTTACCCGGCAGGGGCAGGGACACTTCCTCCGGCAGAGGGGGCGGCAGGAAGACCTCGGAGGCCGGTGGAGGGGGTGGGGCCGTGGGGCTGGGGAGAGGTGGGGGTGGGGGTGCTGCCTGCCCCTTGGTCGTGGAGACCCCACCGACACCTTCGGCGCTGCTGAAGACCAGAGAAAGCGGGGCTCGGCTAGGTTGGGGGACACCTTCCCTGACTCAGCATCCCCCCCCCGCCCCTCCCCTTCAGTCGTGCGCCCCGGGCCTGTGATGAGCGTCCTCCCGACCCTAGTAGTCACCCTGACAACTGGCAGGAGTTCCCCTCAACCCCCCACTTGGACTCGTGGGGCTCACCCTGCCGAGGCCAGGGAAGAAACCGATGAGGCGGCGGAGAGTTTGCCCTCGGGCACCACGGGGAGCTGCACGGGCTCGGGGATCCGGGGTGGCCTCCTGGGGGGGAGGGTGTCGTCAGTGGGGGGGAAGGAAGGCTTCGGCGAGCAGGGGTCAGGTGCGGGCAGGAGGAAGTTTGGCTTCTCTGCGTGGAGGGGGGGGAGGAGAGTTGCAGGAGCGCGAGGCCTCACCCCAGGGTGGCGGAGGCAGGTGCGGCAGGCGCCTTGATGCTCTTGCGCGAGAGGGTCCCGGTCCGCGACAGCTGTGTGGTCAGATCCTGCGGGGGGGCAGGGGGCGGGGCTGACGTCTATGGGCCCCCCTCAGCGCCCTGGTCCCAGAAAGGAAACGAGGGAGAGGCGGCCGCGAACTGGGAGGGAGAGTGCGGGCACAGCAAGTTCCCACTTCCACTTCCCAGCCCCCTCTCCCACCCCACCCCACAGCCACCCCCTCTTGCTGCCGCCTGGGCCCCGGGCCTCTCTGGTCGGGCCGGCTGCAGGCCCGACGGAAACCCGGAGCAGACACGGTCTGAAGGCCACTTCCTCCGCACCGCCTAGCATCCGCCCCTCGCGCCCAAAACATCTCAGTGGCCAGCTTGGTGGTCTCTAATTCTGATAGAGCCCGACCCCCACGCGAGGCTGAGGAGGTGGGGGCAGCGGGGAGGGAGGAGAGGACCAACACACTTAGAAGTATCCCACCTGCCGTTCGGACGGGTCTGCAGAACCGGCTTTAGGAAGCTCGGGACAGAGAGGGGCAGGGCATTTAAAATGCACAAATGGCCAGGCCAAGCCCACAGGCAAGGGAGCACCTGCGTTACTGGTGGGGTGTCCCCAAGCATGGGGGACATGGGGAATGCTGTCCTCTGCTATTGTCCACTAGGCACAAGACAAGAGGGTCCTGAGCTGAGTCATAAAGAGTAGAAGCTGGGCAATGAGACGAACTTCAGGGTGGGGAGGCCTGGTGCCCGAAGGAGGGAGTGTGGTCTGCATATTATGGGATGGGAAGGGTTTCCAGGGGTCATTGAGACCCAGGGGAGCTTTAGTCTAACCTGGAATGTTGGCCTGTGGGAACTGAGGAAGTGGGGTTGGGGACGTGTCCTCTCCCACCTCTCCGGGAGACAGCCGAGAAGGCAATGGCAGTGTCAGGCTCCCCGGTCTTCACCAGGCCCCCTTTGAGTGGCTGCATCCCCACCAGTTCCCACCCACCAGCAAGCGGCTCTGGGGTGAGTGCTGCGGTGACCTCAAGCCTCCAGACAGAGGAAGTTGCCTTCTCATGTGGCTGGGGAGCCATTCTCATGCACGACCTGACACCTCCCTTCCCCGCTTCCCCTTCACACACACCCAGCCCCCACGGAGGGGGGGTGCTCAGATGCACCCTCAGCAGATCATCTGAGGACAGGGTAAAGGCCAGTGGTGGAGGGACCCGTCAGGAAGGACTTTTAAGGAGGAAGGCTTGGAGAGAAGGGGTCCGCTTAGGGTGATGGCTTCAGGGAGTGAGGAAAGACCAGGGCGGCAGGTTGGGACACGGAGGGATGTGGATGTGGAAGAGAACTGGGGGCCCGAGGAGAAGGGAGCCCTGACGAGGAGAGGGTGGGTTATGGGAAAGAGGAGGGTCCCTCTCTCTACCTTGATCCCATGGCCAATGTCATCCAGGCAGCCAAAGTTAAGCGGTCTCCTGTAGTAGGGCGTGAGGGGAGGGAGGCTGTCGGGGGCGATGACTTTCTGACCAGGGGGCAGCCTCTGGACCGTGGCCAAGGTGCCGATCTCCCTTCGGGCAACCTTCTCCATGTGCATGTTCACCATCTGCCATAACAGGGTTTGAGGTGACAGTGGGGCAGTCTCTGTCCTTCCTCTTACGGGAGGAAGAGGATAGAGACTTTGGGGTGGGCGTAGGGGCCAGGGGAAGCCGTGAGGTCCAGAGACAGAGTAAATGCTGTCCCCAGGGTCACACGGCATTTGGGAAAAGAGTTGCCAGGGGAGGATGGAACCACTTTGGAGCAACTTCCTGGTGGAAGAGAATGAGGGTTATTATTAGCTGAGCAGGAACCAGAGGAAAAGAGAAAACACAGCACCCCTGGGGCTGCTGGGAAGAGAGGGGAGCGCTGGGCTGGCTGGGCAGCAGAGGTGGAGAACGCAGAGGTGGTGGAGCATCATGGCTGGAGTGACTGTCTCTCTTGGGGGGACAAAGAAGTGAGTTCACTCCCTCTTGGAATGTTCTGTGGGGAAACTCACAACACTGGGAGGGTGGGAAGCCCGGTCTGCTGGGGTGAGAGGAAAAGGCACAGCGCGCAGTGAACATGCGGGTGATGCGCGGGCTGATGGGTCAGTGGCTGTGTGCACGTGGCTGATGGGGCAATTCCTCAGCCAAGGATCCAGGAAGGGAGGAGGAGGGCATGTGTCCTAGCTGGGCGGGGGCACGGCGTGGTGGTGGCGGTGCTTTCGGGGCTGAAGATGACCTTGCCAGGCAAACACTCCGGGATGAGGACACTTATTAGGTCACTGCCTGTGTTTAGCTGGAAACAAGATCCACTTGCCTCTTTCCTGTACTAGGCACCCACCGCTACTGGTAAATCCTGCTTCCTACCATGCAGGATAGAATTCAGATAGAAGTCAGAAAGGAAAAGGACTGCCTTCAAGGAGTTCCTAGTCTGGTAGGGCAGAAAGGCCCAGCATGGAGACATAACCACAGAGATAAGGAGGCTCAATACCCTCGGGAAATGCCAAGCTCCTGTGGCGGAGTCAGGCGTTTGGAGGAAGGCGGGAAAGAACTTATTGCTGGAGAACATGTCCGAGTGGGGCCAAAGAACTGGGAGCCAATGCAAGAAGCCCTCCCACAGCCCTTACCTGGCCCAGCGTGTTCACACGGGCTTCCACCTGCCGCAGGGAGGCGGCCTGCAGGTCTAGCAGACGCAGAGTGTGTCCGGCCAGACTGCCAACTTGGTAGGCCACACTGGCCAGTGCCTGGGTGGTAAAGGCCATGGTCTCCTCCAGCGCCTTCCTCTTGTCTGTGGCCTGAAATACACACAGCTCTGGTCGGAGGCCAGCCCCTTCCGCTGGATCCTTGGCTGGGTGGGTAAGATGGGAGAGGGAGGATGGGGGCTGAACTGGCAGAAAGCAGTAACTCTAGATGTTTGACGTGGTTTCTGTGAGAATGAAGTTGTAGTAAGAGGGACTTGGGAACATTAGGAGAGCAAATCTGTTACCCTGAGGAATGGGGGTGCAAGGGGAGGGAAAGATCTTCCTCCTCAAAGACTCAAGCTGAGGATTGACCTGACCACCTCCAGAGGACCTTTGGGAATAAAGGGTGAATAGCAGAAAGGGAAGAGGAAGGCAATACTTTCAAACTTAAAAAAAAGAACCAATCGACGCCAGACCCCCTATCCCAGACCTTCTAATCAGAACTCTGGTAGGATGGGAGAGGAAGGACGTGGGAGTAAGGAGTAAGGTCGATGAACCTGTGCCTTTAAAAGCTCCCCAGGGGACCCTTGTTCTCCTGTTTTTCTCCAGTCTGCAGAGTAGTGTTTAGGAACCAATGATCTAGTCCATTTTATAGATCAGGAAATTGAAGCCCAGAGAAGAGTGACTTCATTCATTCCCTCCAGTAGCTTCCCAATACACTGAGAATAAAATCCAGACTTCCAACCGTGGCCTATATAGGGCCCCACAAGGCTGGCTCTGCTTTTCTCTCCCGGCTCTCCTCTACCACTCCCTCTCACTCCCCTCAAGCACATTGGCCATAAGGTTCCTTTTCCCAGATCAAGCTAAGATTGTTTCTACCTCAGGACCTTTGCACTTGCCATACTTCTTTCTAGAATCCTTCTTATTAAGTCTCAGCTCCTCAGAGACACATTTCATCACCACCTTAAGATTCTCCTAGCTTACTTCTATATTGACTCTCTACCATATTTACCCTGTTCTCTTTTCCTCATAGCACTTAGCACTATCTATCAGAAATTATTTATCTATTTACTTCATTATCTATTTCCCCCCACATACTAAAATGTAAGCGCTGTGAGGGCAGAGAGCTTCTCTGTTTTACTCTGTATCCTACCCTGGAATAGTGCCCAACATACAGACAATATTTAATACATATGCATTTGTGAGTTAATTAATGAATTTAATGTGAACCCAAACACTTGCTGGGTATTTCCTTACTGCATGCCAGGCACTGTGCCTGCCAGGTGCTAGCCAGAGTCACACCGGCAGTCAGGGATGGAAGGGTGGGCAGGGAATGGCTGAAGACAGAAGAGGGTTTTTTGGGTTTTTTTTTTTTTTTTTTTTTTTTTCCAGTTCCAGATGAGACCATGGGGCTAAAGCAAAACTCCGGTCATTTGGTTCCCCAGGCAGCTTCCTCATCTTGGATGAGGAGCTGCTGCCGGTTCCGATCATGGAGCCACTGCCATTTAGCCTGTAGCTTTCTCTAGAGGGTAGGGGTGAGTCCGGGACAAATCTGGGCCAGGCCCCGTGCATGGACAGACAAGGCTGCAGCACGCAGTCTCCTTGCTAAAGGCCCCTGGGTGCTCCCCGAGGTCTGTCAATGGAGAGCACACCTGGAACCTCTCAGAACAGGGTGCCTCCAGTGGAGCCTGAGCCAGGCTAGAGTCAAAGGGCAGGCCCAGAACCTTCTGGGCAGCCCCTCCTTGTCTTTGTTCCAACAGCTAGATGCTCATTTGCGTGCAGTTTACATCTCATCAGCCTATGTAACCAAGAGCCTTGAAAAGGCAAAGAAATCAACTGAGGATGTTGAAACCAGAAAGGAGAGCAAGTCTTGTTCTAGCTCAAGATCTTTCTTTAATAGACTAGGAAACGAAGGCCCAGAACAAAGCGGTTACTACTCCTCCTTTGGTCTGCACCCAGATTTCCTAGCTCACCTCGCCAGCACTGTCCCCTGTTTGGCCTGCCACCTGGAACTGTCAGCCCAGACAGGAAAATGTCTGCTTGGGTCCAGCTCCAGGAGGCTGCTGACCTTTGGTTTGGGGCTTGGCCCAAAGTTATGTCCAGAGGTATAAAGGTATGAGATCCATTGTCATGGCTGACTGCTTATTCATCATGCAAATTACCTTGTCTGTAAACTCAATGGACTCTGACGGAGAACTCTGCAGTCTGACCCCAGCCTGCTCTCCCCCAATTCCCCATGGGTTTCCTGACACCTGGTTGGGGTGCTGGGAGGGGTTGGGGGAGGGACAGAGGGCATGGGAACCAGGCCTTGTTTAAGGGCAGTTCTGAGAAGTCATCCAAATCCTTTGCAGGCATTTGCTCCCCAGACCGAGATCCTCAGAGAGGCCAGGAAAGGTAACTAAGGTCAATTAGTTAGTGTTCTGCATGAAGGAAGCAGGAACCCAGGGACTCTGACCTGGGTGTTTTTGCAAGGGCTGCCTCGCCTTGCTAGAATTGACTTTCATTATCTCTATGTGCCTTTCATCCTTCCGGCGGAAGATGATAATGATGATGATGATGATGATGATGATGATGATGACAGTCATGGTAATAGTTTCCATGCATCCTGCCCCTCCTAAGGGACAGGCACTGGGCTAAGTGCTTTAACACATTCTCACATTTAACCCATGGGACCCCCGTGAGGAAAGGTGTAAGAATCAGAGGGTCACCTTGCCATGGGTCCTGTAGTTGCTAGGTGGCAGAGTTGGAAACTGGACTCAGGTCTTTGGGACCCCAAATCCTATGTGCACACTGTGCATCCGACAAACGAGAACCATCTGGAAGAATCTGAAGGTGTGCAGAGGTTACTGAAGGAATGCGCAGAACCGCTTCTCTCCTTGTCCATAAGAGGAGCCTGCCTTCCAGCATCCTGAGACCGGGCTGGTTTACAAACCACGGTCCATCTCATCTACAAGTGGGTCACTTAACATCTACATGAACGGCAGTTATTCAACTAGAGGTTTGGGGGTGGGCTGGGAGTCAGAGTTCTGGGTTCGAATCCAGGTTCTGCCACCAGCTTAGTGACCTGATCTTTCCTTTTTTTTTTTTTAAGATTTTATTTATTTTTTTGACAGAGAGAGACATAGCGAGAGCAGGAACACAAGCAGGGGGAGTGGGAGAGGGAGAAGCAGGCTTCCCACGGAGCAGGGAGCCTGATGCGGGGCTCGATCCCAGGACCCTGGGATCATGACCTGAGCCAAAGGCAGACGCTTAACGACTGAGCCACCCAGTCGTTAAGTGACCCGATCTTTCTGAACCTTGGCCTCCTGGCTGTGGAGTAGGAGTGGTTTTCTCCTCTCAGGACTGGGAGGAGGACTAAAAGAGGCCAAGTGAGGATAACATGCCTGCCCAAAGGAAGGGTGCAGAGCGTTCTCCCTGGTATCACCACTGACTCTCTTGAATCTGCCATTTTCCCATAAGCACTTGCTACTTCCATTATTTTTTTCAACGCTCCTACTGAGCCAGGAGCTTCCCAGGCCTGCCAGTGCAAAGAAACTGTCTTTAAGTCCTAGGGCCTGGCAGGGGAGGGGAAATGTGGAGAGGAGAGAGCCCGGCTTCAGAAGTCAGGAGGCTGATGCTCAACTCTGCCAAGTCCAAGCTGTATGACCTTGGACAAGTCACCTTGCCTCCCTGCACTGCTGGTTCTTCATCTATGAAAGAGGAATAATAATACTTGTCTCATGAGGTTATGAGGATTAATGGAAAAAACAGAGGTGCTCAATCATTGCTAAGTTTCCCTCGATCCTCTTCCCGTGATCCGAGAATCCACGTTCATGGTCCTGGAACAACTACACAGTTTAGGAGACTGCTCTAAAATCTTGTGCTGGTGGACTCTCCCAGCCATCATGCTGTCCATGCCTCTGTCTCTGCGCCAGACCCAGCCTAGCCTGATGTCTCTCCACTCTCGCTCAAATATCAGGGAAAGGATTCTCCCCCTGGTGCCTCTCAGGTTCACGACACTCTTCGGGAGGTTCTCAGGTCTCACCCAGAGTCAGCGTGCACGTGATAATGCTGGCATTTGTGTGAGGACAAGTCTGGGCCCCTGCATCTGCACGGGACCCAGGAAGGAGACGAATGTCGGGTGAGGCTTGCTGACAGGACGGAACAGTGTGGCCTGCCCGGGCGTCTCTGGGGCTCCGGGAGAGGGAAGGGGCACGGTGGGGCTGGGTAACATGGGGTCAGGGCTGAAGTCTGGGGGGGACTGGAATGGAGCTGAGGCCTGGGGTGGAGGCTTTCCCAGGTGGGCCCAGGACGAGCACCTGTCAGGATGCCTCTCACGGTCCTGCCTTGAAGGTGGGTTCCGGGGGCGGGGGGCCAGGGTGTCGGGGCGGGTGCCCATGCTGCCTACCTGCACGTAGTTGTCCACGCAGTAGTCCGCGACCCGCAACAGGGAGCTGTGGTTGCCCCGCAGAGCCTCCCGGCCCGTGGGGATCTCGAACTCCTGCAGCTGCTGAAGCTCCGACATGGCCCCCCGCCTCTGGCCGGCTCCCCAGGGAGCCCGCTGGTTTTGTGCCTCACCCTGCTCTTGATTGGTCGCTCTGTCTTCCCCCTCTCGCCGCTTTTGGTTTCCTCTCAGTGAGAGACCCAAACCTGCTTGCAAAGGGCAGGCAGGCTCATTCCGGGACAAGAGGAAGTCAGTCTCCGCTCCCTGGGCCCGCGCCTCTCTGCCCCCTGCCCAGAGGAAGGGGGAAGCCAGGGGCCCCTGTGGGGGCCCAGTCCCCCAATCCCTCCCAGCAGAGGAAGCCAAGGTCGGGGGGCTGTGATTGCTCCCTGGGCCTGGAGAGGAAACTGTTTGGGGGGGTGGGGAACGGAGTGGGGGACTGAGGAGGAAGGGGGTTGGCCTGCTCTGGGTGGGCGGTGGAGGCGGATTTTCCACTCATGGAAGGGGAGGAAAGGGCAGAGGGTGGGGGCTTCCTTGGGAAGCTCAGGGATGAGTCACCAAGGGCCCGGGGAGTGGAGGGTGGGTAGGATATGGAGACCAGTCGTGCCGGGCGCTGTAGGGTGGCCCAGCAACCATGGAAACCAGCCAAGGCAGCAGCCAGAGGAATCAGCTCAGACAGCAGAAAGACACATCCAGAGGTCCCCTGAGAAGCGTGAGCAAGCCTCGGAAGGGCTGTGTGTGAAGAAGCCCTGGTGCACATGCTCTGTGCCTGGTGGAGGTAAGCCCAGCTATAGCGCCAGGGATTCGGATTAGACAACAGCAAGGAACTGGCTTCGAGAAGCACCAGGTGCAAGTTGCAGGTTAACTGGTCGGTCTTAGGAAGCAGCGGTGGACCGAGCACCGAGCTGGCCTCTAGAGGCCTGTGCTCTCCATCCTGTATTTCCAGCACAGTTGGACTAGAAACCTCCAGGCTCCCGTCCTGATCCTAAATTCTTCGCGCGCCCAGCTGTGAGTGGGACTCGGACCCTGGAGCGGGGGAGTCAGGATGGGCTCCAGGCCTCCTCCCAGCCACTTCCAGAGCCCCTCCTGTCAACCTAGAGACAGGACAAAAAGAGGATCCCTAACTGACCGTATTGATCTCTTAAGCATCTGCTTCTTGGGAGGGTCCCCTTGCCATGGGACAGGTGTCAGCCTGAGCAGGAGCTCAGTGTCTTTTTTTTTTTTTTTTAAGATTTTATTTATTTATTTGAGAGAGGGAATGAGAGACAGACACTGAGAGAGGGAGGAGGGTCAGAGGGAGAAGCAGACTCCCCGCCGAGCAGGAAGCCCGATGCGGGACTAGATGCGGAACTCGATCCCAGGACTCCAGGATCATGACCTGAGCTGAAGGCAGTCGCTTAACCAACTGAGCCACCCAGGCGCCCGAGCTTAGTGTCTATTAAACAGCATAGCCCTTGGGTGGTCCTGGAAGGAGACCGAGAGAAATATCAGGATGTGGGCCCTGTGTTCAGCGATTGGTGAGGGAGACCCACGCTCAAGGCTCAGAGAAGGCATGGAGGCCAAGAAGCATGGACACAGGCACTGGAGGTGGCGATGGCCCCAAGTGTTGACAAGAACAGCATCCTAAGTAAGGAGCCCATTTTTATTGAATGCGTGAAGGAAGATTGAGCTAAGAGAAGCTTGTAAGGTATAATCACGGGGCTCCAATGGGAGACACAAAGGCTTCTTGGGTGAGGGACGTTAGGAGCTGGTCTAGGACTTGCTTCACTGAGAAGAATAGTCTCAGAGCAGGCTCAGAGGTAGCGGATGGGAGGGCTTGGCAGACAAGGCACGGGGAGGGGAGTGTGTCGGGCTGAGGGTGAGAACTGGCTATAAGCCAGACGGGTCTCGAAAGGAGCAAGGCAGACGTAGGGGGCAGGGTGTCCGCTCCAGTGGCAGTGAGGGCTTGGAGGCTCAAGCCAGCGGGTGGGCTTAGGACCTTGAGCCCATGATCAGCTTAGGCATTAGAGATTTTGGCTTTCAGACCATCTGCTTTATCTGAAGACTTTCAGAAGCTGAGGAGCCGGGAAGCTCAAACACCATCTTGTCTGAGTCGAAGACCAGTGACTTGAAGTGCACGCTCTTTCTTGGCAGGTGAGAGGGGCTGAGGTTGCACTGGGCTGGGATTTAGTCTTAGAATTATTATTTTTTTTTATTAAAGATTTTATTTATTTGAGAGAGAGAGAATGAGAGAGAGAGAACACATGAGAGGGGATAGGGTCAGAGGGCAAAGCAGACTCCCTGCCGAGCAGGGAGCCCAATGCGGGACTCGATCCAGGGACTCCAGGATCATGACCTGAGCCGAAGGCAGTCGCTTAACCAACTGAGCCACCCAGGCGCCCTAGTCTTAGAATTATTAAAGTTGGGCCCCCGCCAGGCCTTCCTGATAACCCTGTCCTGATGATGATGATATCAGTAACTATAACAATAATAATAATAGTCATGATGTGCCATACAGAGGATTAAAATATTTTACATGCATTATTTTCTTAGGATTCACAAAAATCCTACAAGGTAGGTACTGTTATTATACCCATTTTGCAGACAGGGACACTAAGACTCAAGGAGGTTGAGTGACTTGCCTAAGCCTCACAGCTTGGAAATGGCAGAACCAGGATCAGAACTGGAGTCTGGCAGGCTCCAGAGCCTTTCACTTAACCACTAGGGTACAGTCTCCCCTGGCAGGACCTGCTGTTTCCCGAAAACGTCTACCTGTGCCATTATGTGAAACAATAACCTGGCTTCCCAAATTCTATTCACTGAAAGATACTCCTTTTCTCTCCCTTCTCCATGCTCTGATTCCTGTTCCGTCCATAGACAGATCCTACTCCAAGGGCAGAGCCTGTGCCTCCCCCATCAGACTGGGGGCTGTGCCTCCCCCATCAGACTGGGGGTACCACCCTCTCCTCCAGAGCCTGGACTCGTGATGGGGCGGGGTGGGAATTAATCTGCCGTGTGAAGTGAGGGGATGGACAGGAAAGAGGGTGGAAGTTGAGGTGTGGAAAGTGCAGGAGGGAGCTTCTGTGAGGAGCCCAGGGGGTTTGCAATCCCAGCCGCGGAACCCTTGCCAGGAGCAGGTCTCTCTGGAGCAGGATGGCCCAGGAGCTCAGCGAGAAGGAGCTATTGAAGATGGAGGTGGAACAGTTGAAGAAGGAAGTCAAGACCCCACGAACCCTGGTGAGTCCCCTCTTCCCTTCCCTGACTCTGTTTGCCATGGTGTCCTGGTCCTCACAGAGCCTGGCCCCCAGGGGAAGCGACAGGCGGCGGGCTGGTGAGGCCTCCGCAGAACAGCAGAAGGGGCAGGAGTGGGAGGTGCCTCTGGGCCAAGCGAGGCTGCAGAGGGAGGCTGGGGTTTAGCCCCACAGAGGGGCCAGGAGCGAACCCCGCAGCCTGGAGGCCGCAGCGGGCCTGGCCCAGCGCCCCCTCGGAGGTAAGCACTCACCCCCCACCCCCGCCTGCCCCTTTCTCTTTCTCCTCCCCAGCCCCCTGTCCAGGCCCTGTTTTCCTGCACCGAGCAAATCATGGATGCCCACAGACAAACGAGGGCTGGAACCACCCTTTGTTTTCTCACAGATTTCCACGACAGGAAAGGAAATCAAGGATTATGTGGAGGCAGAAGCAGGAAACGACCTTCTCCTCAAAGGTATCCCTGAGGACAAGAATCCCTTCAAGGAGAAGGGCGGGTGTGCGATAAACTGAGGGCCCTGGGGCCCCGCCCCCCTGCCCATCTGTCCCTCCTCAGCCCTGCTCTTCACCGGGAACCCAGTGTCCGGTGACTCCCAGGGACCAGGGGACTCTCCACCCTCTCTCGGCCACAGTAGGAGTAGACACCTGGCCCGTGCACTGGGGAGCTATGCCCCACTCCCACCTTCAGTTCTCCTCTCCTCCACCTGCTGGGCCACTTGGAGGCCCTCGAGGACAGCTTCTTGGGCTCAGCAACTGGCACCTTCTGTGGTGGGGTCCCAAGAGCTGGCCACGCCCTGAGACCCCGGACAGCACCCTTAGGGACGTCTACCCCTCCCTGGAGCCGTCCCGTCTTTCCCTCCACTCTCTTCCTAGGAGCCAGCATTCCTACTCAGAGTAGTTTGGGTTGAGGGCCAGAGTTGGGGGGGCCCTTCTTCCCCATCTCACGTCTGACCCTGTGGGCCTCCTCCTAGTCACTCCAGAGGGCCTGACGACAAAAAGAGTTTGTAAAGTCATGATGTCATGATTTATGTAATGTTCCGGAACGTCTGTTCCGTGCTGGGTCCTAGGGAGAGAAGAGTAGCAGCGCGAACGTGGCGGGAACTGAGTTTGCAATGAAGTCAGGAAGCGCTACTCCGCGAAAGGACCAACAGTGGTGTGGGGCACACAGCAGACAGACAGACACTCAGGGCCACGGGCAAGGTCCGCGTGAACTGTTGCAGGCCAGTGGGCCGTGCGGGGGGACGGGGCAGACAGAGGCCCAAGAGGGAGATGCGTGAAGCCTTGAAGGACCTCCCTGTGAGCCCAGTTAAGAACTGTGTTCCCAGGGCGCCTGGATGGCTCAGTCGGTTAAGCGGCTGCCTTCGGCTCAGGTCGTGATCCCAGGGTCCTGGGATCGAGCCCCGCATCGGGCTCCCTGCTCAGCGGGAAGCCTGCTTCTCCCTCTCCCGCTCCCCCTGCTTGTGTTCCCTCTCTCGCTGTGTCTCTCTCTGTCAAATAAATAAATAAAATCTTTAAAAAAAAAAAAAAAGAACTGTGTTCCCCACCGGCTGCAACAGGCAGGACGCAGCCAGCCGAGCGACAGGATTTGATTAGCAGGAGGGAGGCTGGTTCCTGCTAAGGAGGATGCGGATTCCTGGGCCTTGTTAGCAAGGAGATTATAGTCTTATGGAACCACAGAAGTGATGAGGGCGCAGAAGGCAAGCGGAGGACAGAGCACAAGGGGACACCCTGCAGCCCTGCCCCCCCCCCCCCACCGTGGGATCCGTGTGACATTCCTCAGGCACTCCCCGCTGCCCTAAAGCTAAGGGAAGGAAAAACAAATGGTTAACTCATAGAGATCCCAGTCCTGCAAGACAGGAGTCTCCCTCATTTTACAAAGGTCTTAGTGATTTACCAAGAAAAAAAAAAAAAAACATTCTTATCAATAACCTAACTTCCAGAAGGAAACTCCCAACTGTCTTACTGTTAAGACAGTAATCTAGTAAAGAGGGAAAAACCACCTTAACTTGACAATGGCAAGGCCTCCAGTATCTTGTAGGTCCTCTTTAGCATACAAAAATTCTTTTTGAAAACCTCGCTTTTTCCTTACCCCCAACTCCCAAGTATATAATCAAGTCACCCCTCACAACCCCGATGCAGCAGTTCTTTCTGCCACGGGTCCTGTCCCCGTGCTTTATTAAAACCACCATTTTGCACCAAAGACGTCTCAAGAATTCTTTCTTGGCTGTCGACTCCGGACCTCACCCCACCAAACCTCACCTACATTCAAAAACTACATCAGAAGGACTCACATGATACAATGCGTTCAGTGCAAAGTCTGTGTGTGTGGTGGGGGGCGTCAGGGGGACCCATAGGAGGGCAGCCTAATCCAGCCAAATGGGTGAGTTGCGTCCTGGGAGGGAAAATCCGTAAAAGCCTCTAGAAGGAGGTGATATCCGGAGCTGAATCCTAAACACTGAAGTTGTAAATGGGCAGATGCATGGCAAATCTGGCTGAAGTGGCCGTATAAACAGACGCATAGGTATGAGAAGGGAAAAATGTAGGAACCAGGGTTTGAATACAAACACCAACCGGGTTGGAGTGGGACTGTCCAAGGAGAGGCCTAGATCTTTGGAATTCACTGCTAGAGAGGTGGGCTTGGAGATGAGCAGAAGGGTCTTCGCGTCACCCACCTTCATCTGGGGTGTGAGTTGGCAATGTTTGCATTTAGAAGGAAACTGGCTTTTGACAAGATTGAAAGGAGAAAGAATGGAGGCGGAGAGACAGTTAAGGAGATGGTCCTTAGATTGGGGGAGTTGCCGTCTTAAGTCTAGAGTGGGAGGTGGGGTGAGGAGTTCTTTGGGAAATGAAGTTTTCCGATCTTGACATCTCGCGGAGTGATGGGTGATGGAGAGGGAGTTGTCAGGGATGATGGGCTTCTGGCTTGGGAGATGACTAGAAAGACGGCAAAGTAGGTGAAAATAAACCTAAAATAATACAGTGATCCCGCTAGAGCTGCAAACTCAGCCCCGCTCAGCGGGCCCCACCTCCAGGGCATGCCCTGGGCCTACTGGGGAGGTCATGGGCCCCTGGTCAGAATCTAGGATCTCCGGGGAAGTGTCCACTGCTTTCCCAACTCCTTCCTGAGAATTCCATCCTGACCCCCAACTTACCATTCTGCAACCTTGAATAAGTTCAGCCAATCTCATTATACTTGAGAAGGAAAAGAAGAGGAATGAGAAAGAGAATATTTAAATACAATAATTCTCATATTTTTTTAATAAGGAAGGGTAGGGACGCCTGGGTGGCTCGGTCGGTTAAGCGTCTGCCTTTGGCTTGGGTCATGATTCCAGGGGCCTGGGATCGAGCCCTGCGTCAGGCTCCCTGCTCAGCAAGGAGCCTGCTTCTCCCTCTACCTACCCCTCCCCCTGCCTGTGCTCTCTCTGTATCTTCTGACAAATAAATAAAATCTTAAAAAAAGAAAGGAAAAGCAGGTGTGGGCCACAGCCCTACAGCTACAGGCCACAGGGCTACGGCTTCCTTCTTCCTCCCACCCAGTCCTCGTTCTGCTCCCTCCAGGTGGTATCATGCTGCTTGGGCTGTCTGGCCCAGCGGGGACTCTAACCATTATTCCTGAGGCGTTTGGACCCTGGACCAGGCTCTGCTGCTCACCTTTTCCCAGCAAACAGCACCCAGATGCTCCAGGGGTTCTGTTGGCTCCTCCCACACCCTTCTTGTCCACTCCAAGGTGTGGTAACGATCACAGGACCCCTAAGCCTCAAAGTCAGTCATCAGCCCAATGCTCTGAACCCCTCTTCTGTCTGTTTTCCTAGTGCCTGAAAAAGCCTCAAATGGCAGAGGGCAATCTCAGGGGCCACCCCAAAGGAATTATTGTGTGCCCTGGTGGCCCCATTCCTTCCTTGCATGCCCACACCTGCGCCTTAGCCAGTTCAGAGACTGAGCATGATGATGCCGAGAGCAGGTCACGGGTGTAATCTAAGCCGCCCGGCCCCAGCCCTGTCCCATAGATCCTGGGCGTTCATACCCATGAACAAAAGCACCATGTGTTGTTAGGGGTTCAGAGCACGGGCAGCAGCCTCACCTTTGACGACAGCACCTCATCTTTGCAAAGTGTCTCCCAGCTAGCTCCCCACTAGGGCTTGACCGGGCCAGTCCTTCGCTCTGTAAAGCCAGCAGCTTCCAGATGAGGGACTCATGGTGAGGTCAGCAAATCCTGTCAGCATTTACCCCTTGCCTTAGATTCAGAGAGGAGTTGCAAAGCTAGTACAGAGGGTTCCCTTATCCCCCTCACCCAGCTTCCCTGGATGTTAACATTTCATTAACCACGTACTTGTAGTAAAGCTAAGAAATTAACATTGGGACAATACTATGGACTAAACTCCAGATTTGGATTTCCCTAACTTTTTCACTAGCGTCTTTGTTCTGTTCCAGGACCCACATTCCACTTAGTGTTTTACTTATTTTTCAGGGAAGGGCTTCTTCTTCTTCTTTTTTTTAAAGATTTTATCTGGGTGCCTGGGTGGATCAGTCAGTTAAGCATCTGCCTTTGGCTCAGGTCATGATCCCAGGGTCCTGGGATGGAGTCCTACATAGGGCTCCCTGCTCAGCAGGGAGTCGGCTTGTCCTTCTCCCTCTGCTCTGCTTGTGCTATCTCTGTCTCTCTCTCAGATAAATACAATCTTAAAAAAAAAAAAAAGATTTTATTTATTTAAGAGAGAGAGAACAAGAAGGGGGAGGAGCAGAGGCACAAGCTGAGTGGGGAGTCCCATGCTCAGAGGGGAGCACCACACGGGGCCCAATCCCAGGACCCTGAGATCATGACCTGAGCCAAAGTCAGACGCTCAACTGACTGAACCCCCCCCCCCCCAGGCATCCCCAGGGAAGGGCTTCTATGTGGAGATACTGTGGTCTAGGACACAATGGCACACCTAGAAGACATTTCATGGGTCCATAGGTGGTAGCATTGACAGAGACATGACAGGCAGGGAATACAAATCCGATTCCCAAGTAAGTGCCTATTCTCGTGACTCTGTCCCCTCCATTGACCTGCCACCAGAGAACTGGCTGGTTGTCCTTGAGGTCTGGTATTGTATGAGGGGCTCAGGGTAGTCACCGTCACTGGCTCATTAACAGACCTGTGCCAGGCTTGATGAAAGAAAGCCCTGACTGTTCCGCTCATGCATAACCTCTGTTCCTGCCTCTCTGCTGCTTTGTTTCGTGAGTGCCAGTCAGCCCAGGGGTCACCCTGTCTAGGGGGTGATAAAGAGCCTCTTCTACAGGGGCGGCCTTCTGGTAAACCTGTTCATGACACTTGAATATTTTCAGTCTCTGAACTCACCCTAAGTGGACCAGCCACATAGTTTGCCCCAGATATCCTCGTTTCCAGTCCTTCGGTTGGGCTCTAAGACCTTGATCATCTGACCAGAACCTGAATTGCTTCCTAGGATCAGAGAGGAAGGAATTCCCTTCCCTGCTGACTTTTGGGTCACCCCAAGAAGCGCAGTTCCCAGAGAAAGGGGAATCACTGGGATGCAGACGTTCGGACGTGATCAGGGCCTGAATTGGGGAAGTGGAGTAAGAACGGAGAGGAGGTGATGAATTGGAGAGATAATTAAGAGGTAATATTTTCAGGGCTTAGAGATTGCTTGAATGTTGGCAGGATGGGAAGGAAACATCACACATGACTTCAAGTTTCTTTCTGGGATGACTGAAGGAATGGTAGTGTCACCAGTCAGAAGGCTCTTCTCATCAGGTGATTCTACGTGATACCCCGTGGTTTCTCCTCCCTCCCCTTTTGCCCTGCCGAAAACCACTGGAGGTGACAGCTGATAATATGGAAGGAGGTGAGTCCATGCAGGATGACTTCGTGGGGCAGGACAGGAAGAGGCCAACGATGGAGCTTGGAGAACATCAGCGACTCAGGATTAGATGGAGGAGAAAGAGCCATGGAAAGGACCAAGTGGGGAGGGTCATAGAGTGAGAAGGCCAAGCAGAGCGCGGACCATTGAAATTCTGATGATCCTAACAATAAAATGATGCCAAGTCAGGAAAAGAGCTCCTGATCTCCTGGTCAACTAACATCAAGCCGAATCATTCTTTTTTTTTTTTTTTAAGATTTTATTTATTTATTTATTTGAGAGAGAGAGAGCACAAGAGGGGGTAGGGTCAGAGGGAGAAGCAGACTCCCTGCAGAGCAGGGAGCCCGATGCGGGACTCAGTCCCAGGACTCCAGGATCATGACCTGAGCCGAAGGCAGTCGCTTAACCAACTGGGCCACCCAGGCGCCCAAGCCGAAACATTCTTAAATTCTCTGTCACCTCCCTTCCACACTCCACATTCACCAGAGAGTCCCAGGGTGGGATCCCCGGGCCTTAGAAAGAGGGGAGGGGAAGAGGGGAACAGCTGACTCGTTAATTGGGGGCTCAACACCTGGGGCTGGGGGCTGGCTGCAGCTAGAAATCCTTCCTAGTGGATCCGGCAGCCCAGCACCCCTACCCCACCCCCGGTCTCCTGGATTTTACCCTTGCAACCTGGAGGAGTTGGGGGTGAGGAGGGGAATAGGCTCTTGTCTGCTTGGCATCTTGGTGCCTTAGGCAGAGGATGATTACCCAGCCATGATCTTAGGGCCTCTAGGAAAATCAGTCAGAGCCCCCTGGCCTGCCCCTACCCCAATTTCCTACCTGAGCTGGACGCCTCGGAACAAGACCAGCTTTATAGGTGCTTTTGACTGTGATGCCACATAGGGCATCCTACTGAGAAGGGCCCTGTGCTTGGTTTAACACTCTGCTTGAAATTCTTAATAATTTTTGAACAGGAGCCCCACATTCTCATTTTGCACAGGGCCCCACATATTCTGTATCTGGTCCTGTGTAGGGAGGCAGAGGCTCCAGCCCGGTGGAGAAGGCAGGATGCTTACCCAAGAGCAGAGTTTAAGGGGGGTTCAAAATAACACCCTAGGGGCGCCTGGGTGGCTCAGATGGTTAAGCGTCTGCCTTCGGCTCAGGTCATGATCCCAGGGTCCTGGGATCGAGTCCCGCATCGGGCTCCCTGCTAGGCGGGGAGCCTGCTTCTCTCCCTCTGCCTCTGCCTCTCTCTCTCTCTCTCTCTCTCTGACTTTCATGAATAAAAAAAAATAAAATAAAATAACACCCTAACCACCTACTCCCTGCCCTCCTCCGTGATCTCTGAGGGTTAGAAGCTGAGGTGGGGGAAGCGACTCTGAAGTAGTTTCTCAACATCCCCCTGGCCCCTCTGGCTTCGGAATTCCCTAGTGTGTCCACCTATACTCCCCCGCCTATTGCTTTTCATTTTACACCCTACTTTATTTTATTATTATTATTTTTAGGTGTATAAACTATTAACAGACAAGGCCTACAGATTTATTTCTTCTTGGACACGCCCCCCGGTGTACACCCTACTTTAGTCCTCAGTTTATCAGCCCAGATTTCAAGCACCCTGAGGGCAGAAGTCCAGTCTTTGATTTTTGTATTTCCAGCACCTGGAACATGGTAGGTGCCCAACAAGTGGGTGTTAAATGACTGTGTGTGTACCGTAATTTATAGACTTTCTATGTGCCCAGCATTGTGATAAGTGTTGTATACACAACATCCCAGGCACAATAGACAAAGAAGATAATAAACCGACAGGGAGAGAAAGGCTGGGGGAGGCGCAGATGCTGCCCTCTGGCACTTTGCCCTCTCCTGGTGACTCTGGTCAAGGACAACATATGACAGTCACTACCTTCTGAAAACTGCTGCCTTTGGCGGGACCTTCTTGGGAATAAAGTCCTTGGCAGGGGCCCCTCAGACTGTTGGAGGAGAGAGAGGTTT